TTCTAAAGATCAGGCCTTTGCAGTTTAAGAATTATTGGTCTTTCAAAGGCAAACAGCATGGCGCAATAAGGAAAACCCACATATATTAAAATATAGTAAATATTGTAATATTTATATGTAATAAAATATGTAATATATGTAATATGTGGCATTAAGATATTGTACTGATACTGGTGTCCCCTTACCCTAAAACTGCTCATGTACCTAACTCCTAATTACTTTTTTCATTTGTTTAAGTTTTACATTTCATTGTTTTCATAGAACTGATAATACTCCTTTTTGAGGTACCTTGTCTGTTGTCTTTATGTTTATAAGGCTAATTTACAAAGAAAACACTAACAGTATAATTTCAGTTTAATAGTTATTTGAAAGAATTACCCGAGCAAACTGACTTAATATTTTTGAATAAGTAAAACCAAAGTAACAGTTAGAGCATATATATAAACTAGTCAAACCTGATTGTCTATGTGGGTAATCAGGAAGTGGTGTACTTACTGTACTTGTATATACCAGAAAGCAAGTATCAATGTTGAAAATGTCATGGTTACTTTGCAAAAACGCCATGATCCATTCGTTTAATAATTAGTGCTAAATTGTTGCCCTCACAGCAATCACTGATTCTCATTTAACATACTGTATGTACTATACAATGTATTCTCTTGGTATAAATGTTTCTTTTGGTATCAGTAGTTTAAAAAAAACATAAATTATTTATGGCAACAGGCTAAAAGATTCATACATATTGTCATGTTTCTGGACGTTGTACCAGAATCACAATTTTAGCAAATAAGCTCTTGAAGTACTGATAAGTACAGTATTTATTATTTAGAACTGACACAATAACATGCAATATCAAGAAAGGAAGGTGATTATATTTCCTTTATTTGTCTGTTTGTGTACTTTCAACAATGTCTTGAAAATTTGGTGGATTTTGGAATTATTTTAAAGAATGTTTCTCCCCTTCATGAAGGCTTAAATTTATATTTGTATCCCTGAAGACCCAAAGCTTGTTTTCAATTACGTAATTACATACTTCCAGAATGTATCTCAGAAAACAAGCTAGATCTCTCTTCATTCCTAAGATAACTTTATCAAAAATCACACATTGCAAGAAAGAATGTTAAGGTCTTTATATCCTATATGAAAGTATGTAAACAGTTTTAAATTCCTGTAACTTAACTGTTAATTCACTTTGTTTTTTACTGAAATATATATTTTTTATATATAAAAACGTTGTCTCATTAAATTGGTTCCAAAGTGGATGTCTTCAGTTTGGTACATGTGCTGAAATTAAGAACTTTGTGCCATCCACAACATTAATTAAAATATTTACTTTGCAGTCTTGAATCCTGCTGTGTAATCACTATTTGCATAGCAACTCTGATACTCAATGCAATGTGAAAATGGAAATGCTAAAGACCTGCAGAAGTACACTGACAGTAATAACACCTGTGTGTAGCTCACAAAAAAAAACACCACACCTTGTCGGATCATGACATGCAAGTCATTCGGCTATGTACAGTACGTGTTATATATTGTTGATTTCCCTTTGTTTTCCTGCAAGAGAAAGGCAGACATTACAAAACTGTGTTTGTGTGGGGGAAGGTGCCCTATCAGTACCAGTATACCAAAGCTATCCAATCAGACCCCACCATTTCACCTGGTCCTCTCTCCTTCCACTGTCTGTGCTGATGTATTGTAGCATGTGAAGTGTGCAAACTTAGCCCCAGTGCACTTACAGCTACTGTATCCCAGGATCATTATTTTATTCTGTCAGAGAGTAAACTACATATTCTTTGTAAAACATTCAGTCGCTTGAGAATGAGCAACATTTGTCCTCAAAGGCTATATTTCATTCCACCTCAGATTTTTTCCTCATTGAAATATTTATATAGTCACAACACTTGCTTTCTTCAGTCTTTATCCTGTAGCTACTATAATTGAAACATACTTATAAAACCTGCAAAAGTCCAGGCCATGAAAACGTAAGATATCCATCTCTGCCTTACAAAAGGGATACTGGTTATTTTCAAAGGATTTAATACAATCAATGACTATCAACCTTCTGTTAAAGCATATTATTTGATGTCTGTATTTCCCTCAGTTAAGAACTGCTTAGATAACCTGTGATGCATTTCAATTTGGAAAGTTAAATTACAGAAACTGGCTTTTGTTCTTCACTCTTATGGTAAATAAACTGGCAGTTTACTTATGTAACAGGCTGTGGAACTCGACTCAGTTTTCATTTGTACTCGTAAAGAGTTCATCTTTATGCAGTGGTTACATACTGTAGTTGAAACAGGCTGTTGGTTAGTTGTTTGAGCTGTTCCTATCGTCCCTCTACTACTGAGCCCTCGAGCGAGTTACCTGAGCGTCCAGTCGTCATTGACACAAAGTATGCATAGGCATTTCTTGAAAGGCTATTTTGACTTTGAATTGCCCATTTTGTTGTTGTTGTTTATGGTTTGTCAGACACCCTAAAGAAGACAACTTTACTGTATCTGTCGAATCAAGTTAAGGGGTGGAGCTGATGAATTTGAATGTTCTCGTCTTCAATTATTTAGAAACGTACAGAATGTGTACTGACGCCACTGAAGCTTCGTTCATTTAACTGATTTTTTACTGCAGAGGAGGGAAACCCGAGGAGCTGCGTAATATGGTAAGAGTTTGTTTATTGTTGACGTTAAGAGTTACCAGTGAATAGTTTAAATTGGGACTTTTCAAAAGAAATCGTGTCTGGACTTGTGGCAGCGCAATCAAGACTTAATGTGGGGTGTGAAAAGTTTTGGGAGCGGTAATGATTTTTTTTCCAGGGCATTTTTAGATTCTGTTTTATTATTCCCTTAACATCTTAAAAAGATTCATTTCATTTTTTGACTGTTTAATAGTAAATACCATGGCTGATGAACAGTATGAACACTTGTTCTGTAGAAGTTACCATAATGAGAAGTTCTAATTTACCATTGTAATAGATATTTCTTAGTTTTCTAATTTTCATTTTTAGCGTAATATATATTTAAAAAACGTGTGTTTTTAAAAATGATACAGTTTTAGTACAACACTGGTATTAATTTAAATATCAAACAACATAAAAGCTGTGTCGGTTTCATTTCAGTAAATGAAAATGGGTTTTAACATTTAACATTTATATGCTTTTATACAGCATGTTTATACAGCATGATTTAACTTTTTATTGATAAGTTTCAACATTAAATTCTGAACTATGCATCTGAATTTCTTTAACCTACTGACAGCTCAAGACTTGATTCATGACAAGTTTAAATATATTAATTGTTGTATCCGCATTTCGCTTTTCACGGTAAGGGGCGCCAAAAGAGATGTACACATGGAGGTGTCCAATTCACGTCTTCTTTCAAATGTGCAACTTGCAACTTGTTTCAAATGGTTTCAAAGTTAAACTTCACAGTGCAGCCTATCAAAAATTACTTGCGCCAAAAAGTGCATAGTAGTGATCATGTACGTACAATGAATCAATAAAATAGTTCGCTTTTACCTTTTTTAACATGCCTTCATAGAGGTCACATTGTATTTTCACTTAACACCGCTGAAAAACGTAATATCTCTATGAAAGCGCATAACATTATTTTATTTATTGCCAAGGTATAGAATTGATATTGGTTTTGAGCTATTGCGTCCTGATATCTGAACAGATGCGGTCGCCAAGTGCAGGTAACTTCACGATTTACAAGAACTCAGGAACGACAATCTCGCGCCTCGTGTGCTGCTTCCCTTGACATTTTGAATGGAGTCTGCGCCATCCTGCACTAATTATTAACTTTCCTGCACCCACCTCAGGTTTCACTGCTCGTGTCTGCTTTCAATTCAAGCGAATCTCTCACTTCCGCCAGTCGCACTCCGCAGATAGCTCTCGCAAGCACGTTGTACAGGTAAAATGGTTATCCGAATTCGCATGTTGTTGATAAGACATGTCTGGGATGAATAATGCGTCTTCGGAGTTTATTAGTCCACTGTTTCCTTCGGCAAAGGTGTTCCATTTGGAATGTGTTCAGTGAGCAGGAATACAGAACTTAATTAGTGTGAGTCACCTGTGCTGTGAACAAAACTGTAGGATCTCAACTTTAAACTATTACAATAGGTAGAAACATGTTGCTAAGTGCCAGTACAAGAAAGAGCAGGCGGTTACATACTATATTCGTCTGACTTGTGTGACTTTGCTGCAGTACGTGTGTAGAACAATGAGACATTCTGTACTTCAGTTGTGAAGAAAGTCGCAGAGAAGGAATCACAAAAAAGCGAAAACAATAGTTATTGTAAAAGTAAGTACTGTCCACGCTGTTGCTGTTTTCAGTTCTTGTAAACTACTATTTTGGATTGGAAATTTTAGCAAAAACGTTCACCACTAAACTATTTATAAAGCCACTTTTAAGAAATGTCTGAAAATGTAAGGCATTTTGCTGGCTCTTTTTTTTCAGTGTTCTTAAACTGTTAAATCGGACTGCAAGCATGTTTTATATCTCATCGTCCAGTAATTGTTCAGTATCATTGCTTATATGGTTATTGCACTGTGTGATGTATTTCTATATAATTTGGAATGTTTAGTTTTATTTTGTTACTCTTGTGGAACTTGAGTAAGTTTATGACTGATCTATTTCTTAAGGTAATGTATGTAAAGTATGCATACTGTATTTGTGTTTTCTAGATTAGTCATGGCTCTTCAGATGAATAAAAATAACATGCGATTTGTTACACAGTGAAACAGAAATGCTTTGCATTCATAATTCAGAATATTTGAATGGACTGGCTTCTAAAGAGTCCTCTTTACCAACCCTATGTAATTAAAGGGAAGGGGAGACACTATCACAGGTAGCTTTTTATTGGTCTTTTGTGTGTCAGAAAATTATTGAAGACTTTTGGTAAAGATGTACCAGCTGCTACAATGAAAATGATTTCAATAGTGACAATATATTGCATACACTGTTTTTCACAGTACTTAGACTTCTGTTTATTTATCTTTACAGTCACGGAATTCTTCAGAAGAGAAGTCTGGAGTCTTGGAGCGCCTGGGAGGTTTTTTTACTTCCAAGAGAAGAAAGAGCAGAGGCTCCTCTGAGGTGTCTGAGGCCCCAACAGAAGACAGGACTCCTGGGGTGGAAAACAGCACGAAGAGTAGCGAGAAAGAAGGGCTCAAACCAGCTATAGATGATTCCCAGTCGGAGGCTCAATATATGTCAAATGTGTCCGAGGAAGAAGTAGAAAGCATAAGAATATCTCTGTCCGACGTGGGAATACAGGGATCTTTGAAAAGCACCACTACAAAGCAGGCCGGCTCACATTACAACAGTAAAGAGGCATCTGACATTCCACCTCCTTCAGAAAATGATAGCTGTGGAAAAACAACCTTGAGCAGTGTACCGGTTGTTAAGGTAAACTCACAGACCACAGCGTTGGGTGCAACTGAAGAGACTACAGAGGTAAAGAACGCCAAACATCCTTCCAGGAAGGAATCAGATTCTGAATCGGAAAAGACAGGAGACACATCCAAGAAGCTTAAAGTGTACATAGAAGAGACAAGTGTAAGCAGTAGTCCCGAGAGCTCGAACAGGCCGGTCTTTCAAAAAACACTAAAAAGAAACTTTGAGATTGTGTCCAGACCGGGTACGAAATCCAAGGAAAACGCGGAGACAAATGATTCCGGATTAGAAGACGCTTCCGCCGCTCAGACATCCGAGAGCAAATTAGAATCTCTCACAAACATACAGCACTCGGCATCCCAGGAAGGCTCCCTTAATGAATCATTTTCTCCCCTCGCGGCTCAACATCCGGAACAAGAGGCTCTAGGAAAGGACCTTGAAGTCAAATCCTCAAAAGAAGCTAAAGTTTTTACTGTAGAGGTGTTCCTGCAGTCTGAGAAAGAAAGTGGACCTGATCTTTCCGCGGAAGGGCTAACGGTGGTGGAAACTGAAGCCATGGGGAAGAAAACAGTCAATGACAAAAGCAGGCGCAATTCGGGGAGAAGAAGGTCCCAGAAATCCCATGAGAGCCCGCAGTCGCCTGAAGAAAAAGCAGACGGTGGCTCAAGCAAGAAAGATGCCCACGAAGATACAACCCTGGGAGCCGCTGAACCGCTTCCTCAGAAAGAAGCTGAAGCAGAGAAGCGCACGTTAAAGTGTCAAGAGGCTAGGGTGGAAACTTATTTGAGTGTAACATCAAAAACAATTAAGCAACGACACCCAAGCCTTGAGGCTTCAGTTCAGAATTTGGAGAATCAAAGCTCAGTGCCGTCTGAGCATGTGTTACCTATTACTGTCCACAAAGAGGGTATGGATGTTGTATCAGGCAGGCTCTCAAATCAGACTGAGACAGGATCTTGTGGCAGCAAGCCAATTGCTGCTGTAGCTGCACCAGAAACCTCATGGGTGGGAAAGACAAACACTGCAGAATGCTGGGAAGGCGGTCGGAATTCTTCTGGTGTTGCGTGTGCAGAAGGTCTCTCCTCGGAGGGGAGGACCACAACCCCTCCTTCCGAGTCCGGAAGCAAGTCTTTGAGAGCACCACATGGTGAAACAGTTGCTCCCAAAAAGGTAGAGCTGAAACCTGAATTGGGCCAGGATGGAGCTGAAAGCAGTGGGAAGGCTTGGAAGAAAAGCAAACCAGAGGTAGCAGCCAAGACCCCCCTAAAATCTGAAGTGAAACTGTGAGTATGCACCTGTGTGTGTTGTGATGAATGTGCAAAAAGCTTCTAAACTTTAAAAGTGGGCTTCAGTTTTATTATCTATTGAAGATGAAATATAAAATATATTTATTCAGTGAGTCATCCTTGAAAGAACACTTCAGTGTTGTTCATATTTTAAAAAGTAGCAGTTTTTTAATAAAGATATCTCCCACCAATATAGCAATGTTTGCCTTTTCCCCTTTTCCATTGTACAAGAGTAGCTCTCTTGGGATTTTGTTAATCTTTATTCAAGCAAAATTTCAATGCAAGTGTAAGAATATAAGTAAATCAGCATATATATATAGGCTTGTTCTTTTTTATGACATTAAAACAAAATGAATGCACTCATTTGATTTTTTTAATTGCTTTTGAAAACATTTTTCCAAATAAGAATTAATCAAAATAGCTGAACGTTGTAGTTAATTATAATCTACAACTTAAGATTCCCCAGTTCTCATTCTTGTGTTTTTGAAGTTTGGTATTGGTAACCAGATTTTTCCTTTCTACTACTAGTCACAGTATGTTAATGATAGTTTGTGTAGCCACAACATTGAAATGTCAAGCAAATAAGAAAACAAAGTCACTGATTGTTTTATCTCCAACTATTGTCTGTCGCAGTGCTGAATAAAATGCACCTGTGAGTCTGAATAGAGGGTTGCCCAAATGTGGTTGAATATCATTTTTTTGTTTTTCAATGCTTAACATTGAATAAGTGACTATACATAGACAGAGTAAAAAATAAAATTCTAAGAAATGTAATGTAGCTCATCAGGGTGTATTGTAACAGTATTATTCTAGTCATCAGTGGCAGTATTTTGATGTAGGTATTTTGAAGTGTGGTTGTATTGTAGTTCACATATACAGTAAATATATGAAATATGAAAATTGCATGCCTAAATTGCACACCACTTACTGATTTAACCTAATACAAGTTAGTATTAGAGACCATTTTGAATTAAAATTCCAGAGGTTGATAATGCATCTATATTTGAAGAGAAGGTTTTTTTTGGATGATGGCATGAGACCTTCAGTTGTTTGCCTTTTCTTTTCAAGGAAATTTTCATTATGTTGATTTTATCCTGACTTCAACGTAGGCTAAAATTCTTTGATTGTAAGTTAATATTGGTTCTGATAAAGCCAAAGTAACACTTACATGTAGCAATAACTAAATATCCCAATACAATGCAGGATATATATTCTACTTGGTAAGCAGAGCTGTAGAATGTGGTAGATGCTTATTTTATAAGGTAGGAAATTAATTAGCAATAAGAATATAGGCAAAGGAGTTCAATTCCCTAAGCTGTAATTGGAAAACAAAAATACATTTTCAAATCTGTTCAAAGATATATTTTGAACCTCTCGTTGATTTGGTGTTGAGTAGAAATGTGTATATTAACAAGTTAGCACATGCTTGTTTTAATGAAGTATTCAGACATTTCTTTTGTCTGCCATTAAAGTGAAAGGGATGTACTGCAGAATAAAAAAGACAAATAGGTATGCATGTTGTCAGTTTAGGTCAATAGAAAGTCTTAAAGTCTTTTTAAAAATGAATTCGGTACAACTGCCTTTGCCATAGTAAGGCTACATAATATATAAAAACAGTATATGAAATAAGTTGTTTCATTTAAAGGCTGTACTCTAAAACTTTAACATGGGTCCCTAAGTGCTAAATGAAGAATTAAAGATGAATTTCAGAAAATCGGAAAAATCGGTCATTCTATGTGATAATTATTTATCTGTTGGACTATTTATAGTTATATACAATAATAAGTACGTATACTGCATTGTGTTTTCCCATCTAGTGTTAAGGGTAAATAAATGCTCAAATGACTTTTAATTGCACACTATTGAACGACCTTTAATAACTTAAAGGACACCAAGCAACAGTCAGACTTATGATTGATCATTTTCTGTTGTGCTTGGCACAAAGATGTATCATTAAATGCAGGTGAAAAAGTAATTATTCTTTAATAATCTCTACACACAAAATAAACAGAGAGGATGTGGGATTAAATGTCGAATGCTTAATCATTAATTTCTTGACTGATTTTGAAGTATTTTGTGTTGACAGAAACATCATTTTGTTACACTGTAGTTGATTCACATCTTCAGTGTCCACAAAAAGCAGCCATGCCCTGGAGTGCTGACTCTTGTTAAAAGGGTTTGGGGCCTTTTTTCAACAAGTGTTTTCTTTGTTAGAAAGATAAAGTTTTGATGTCTCAGTGACAAATTGAATGGCGCTTAAGATGGGCTGTGTGAGTAATTCCAGATCAGGTGTAATAAATATTTGGGGCGGAGCGGTGGCTCTGTGGCTAAGGATCTGCGCCTGTGGCTAGAAGGTTGCCAGTTCAAATCCTGAGCAAGGCCCTTAACCCCAGCTGCTCCAGGGGCCCCGTACAATGGCAGACCCTGCGCTCTGAAACCAGGCTCTCCCTGTCTGTGTGTTGGTGTGTCTCATGGAGAGCAAGCTGGGGTATGCAAAAAGATAATTCCTAATGCAAAAAATCAAAAGGGTTAATAAAGTGATGTTAAAATTCTGTCCTCCCACAATATATACATATATTCCTTCATTAGTAATAACTTCTTCATGGCAGTGTTTTGAGAAACTGCTTGAATAAAGCAGAACTGGCACCTACAGTGGGCAGTAGAAGGAAGTTGCCTGCATTTTTTCTGGGCTAGAAGAAGGAGCAGATGCTTCCCTCAGTGTAACAAATGCAAAGATATGTAGGATTTCATTTGCTTACAATTTGTTTTTAAATTGCATGGCCTACATGTTTTGCAGATGAATTATTTTTGCTGTTACATTTTTTTTATTTTCTGTAGCTCATGTTGAAAAACTGGGTGGCACGCTGACACAGTGGTTAGCACCCGCTGCCTCACAGGTCTGGGGCCCAAGGTTCAATTCCTGGGGTGGCCTCTGCGTGGAGTTTGCATGTTCCTCCCACATTTGTGTGGGTTTCCTCCCACAGTGAAAGAACATATTGGTAGGATAATTGGCTCCAGGGAAAACTGGCCCTGATATGAGTGTTTGTCTTTGTATGTATCTGTTCGAGCACTGCGGTGGATTGGTGTCCCATCCAGGGTGTGTCCTGCATTGCACCTGTTGTTGGCTGGGGTTGACTCAGCCAGAAGCCCTGTGTAAAATAAAGAGTTTGGATGTTGAAAAACACCACGTACTGGTGGCCTAATGGTTAATGTTTGATATTATTCTTTTAATGTTTCTACCCATAACATCAATATGTTTGTAAAGTACATACTGTAAGTAATTTATATAATGTGTTTTTAAAGCAATACGCATGTGCCTTCCAATTATACATTAAGCTGGTTCAAAATAATAAGGTATAATATTACCTAATATAATAATAATAAAGGTAATAATATAGTATTTAGAAGGTAAGACTCATAAGAAATGACTAAAATATAGAAGTTAAATTATATCTGTAAAAAAGGGAATAAATGGGCTTCCTTTGTGATAATTCTTCCTTTCTCAATATTCCTTGTAGCATTTTGCATACATTTTGGCTATAAATGTCCTGCAGTAGAATCTGCAGTCACTGTGCTATAGACACAAGATAGTTTAGGCCTACAAAAGCATGTGGAACCTGTGTATCAAGCTAAGCTAAACATGTCTGCTGGAGCTGCACTTTTATTTTAGCTGACATATTCCACACACTTCTCTGCTCCATTCCACAGCTTAGCGTTCTCTTTCCCATCACGCCCCTAGTTCTCCTTTTGCTGTCACACCCATGCCTAGAGGACAATCAAAGCCTTAGCTTTACTGCCCTCTCAACAGAAGAAAGCTCTTTATTAAGCAGGCAGCATCATTTAAACATATTGAAATATGCCTTGTCATCATTTTAAGTGTGTTTGATTTTGCAATTTTCAGTCATAAAACAAAAATAGAACAACTATAAATAAGGTTTTAATTTTGAAGAGAATAATTTATCAATTATTTTAAGGCATGGTCAGAAGGGGGTTAAACATAAAGCAATTATTCTAATGAACCTGTAATGATTAACATTAGAGACAATGCTCAGATATGCTATGTTTTATTCATATAGCTTGGAGTTTTGTTAAAAACACCCTTACAGTGGTATTCACTAAACAGATGAGGACTTGTTTGCAGCCAATAAAAAATCTTTAAGCTTCTTTCTTTTTTGTATGTTTTTCTGGATCTCAGACATATGTGAGATTGCTTGGTTACTAACTGGCAAGTAGAGCCCGTTCGTGAGAGAAACATTTCGTAACAGAGACTGGGATACAGTAAGCACAATGTAAACCAACTCCAGGTTCTCTCAAAGTAGAAGATTCCTGACTCTTAGAAGATATTTTTAAAAACAGACATACTATATAATGAGTGAGAACTGATCTATCAGAAATACTTTATCAAAGCTTTTTTTGCTGAAGGTTCTAAACTTCCAGTTGCATGTTGTAGATATTTGTTACATGTACATATACTGTATTTTTTATATTTAATTTCTGCTCTGTAAACTTTTTTCAAGTTGGATATGAAACACTAATGTTGTTTTCTTTAATCTGCAGACCACCCAATTCCAAAAAGGTTGAAATTGAATGCAAGGAAACTAACTCGACTGAGAAGATAGGCAAGGTTGGAGAAAAAATAAGCTTGTTTGAGAAAAACACAACAAGCTATGCCAAGAAAGATTTTCATGTCATAAAGAACATAGCTTGCTCTCCAAAAATCCCTACAAAATATACTGGTCAGGTGAAACTGAAACTACAGAAGTCTTCTCAGAGCAGTGCGATGGAGGGAAAAAAAACTGAAGTCGTCCAAGTTGATGGTCAAAATAAAATTGATGAAGGAAACTTACGAACTGAAAACCAAAGGTCTCCTTTATCACCCACCAAACTGTCGGGTCGCAAAGATAAAACAGGGAGCGCTAGTTCACCCAAGTTAAAGCAGCCATCCTCCCCCACTGAATCGGTTTCAAATATTAAGGCGGGTGGTACACGGATGAAGAGTCGTGTACAGACTCCTACAGAAAAGTACAGTTTTGACTCCTCTGAAAAGGGGGAGCATCCAGTTAGCGTCTTACCACAAAAGCCAGACAAGGTGCAGAGGGAAGATTCCACAGATTCTGTTGTGAAAGAACAACCTACTGCAGGCAAAATGGAAGCCGTGAAGTCAAAGATTCCCAAAAAATCATTGTCAGAGGGGACTTCAAAAATACCACTATCTTTACCTTCTGTAGAGCAGAGTGAGCCAAGTGCTCAAACTGAAGAAGAAAACCTTTCCAAACCTAGCAACATGACTGTGAAGCAGCACCCTGCTGTGCCAGTTGATGAAAGTGAAAGACAAATAGAGCCTAAGGAAGTAAAGGTGATAGGTTCTAACAGATCAACTAGTACCCAGGAGACAATATTAACCTCCCAGAGTCCAGCAACTACCCTGCAGAGAGAACAGGAGTTGGGCTCAGAGGTCAAAAGCCAGAAAACTACAGAATCTACTACTTCTGTAAACCAAAGCATGGAATCCTCCCCTTGTGATAACAAGTTGGATAAAAGCTCCAGAACTGGAAAATCCTTGCTAAAACCTATTGAGCAAGAAGCAAGGATAGGCACTGTGCCTGAGTTACCTAGGTCTGTGCAGCATGAAGATACTACAGACTTAGCTCCTGATGTAGAGCATTTGTCCCTAAAAGATAATTTACCAGAAACATCAGAACAACGTCCCTCCATTTCATCTGAAATGTTAGAGCACCATAAATCAAGCCAAGTTAAAAGGGATGACAGCCAGACAGCTGGTCTAAACATCGCACTGCCAGACCTGATTATAAAAGAAAGCAAATTTCCTAGCACTGATGAAAAGACTTGTGCTGGAGTGCTAGAACCGGGACAGAGGAGCCCTCTTAAAGAACCCACTGATGTATCACAGGCTGGGAGCAAGCTGCCTAGGCCTGTTCAGAAGAGTGTCTCAAAACAGCAGAGTCAAAGTGAAACTGCTGGTGGAGGAGGTGATTCCCCTACATCGCCTCTGAAGACTCGCATTGAACAGAAATTTGACAGCAAAGATTTACAAAATCAAAACGATGAGCTGCAAAATGACAAAGCACAGAATGAAAATACTTTCAGCCAAAGTGTTAGAGACATGCCTGAGACAGGTTTTGTCAGTACTGGACAGAATAGTCCCATCAGAGACACGGCTGATGCATTACATATTGGAAGCAGACTCCCAAGGCCTATTCACAAACTTCTGCCTAAACAGAAGTCTAATGGTGAGCCTACTGGTGTTGAAGAAATTATTGAAGCTGCCGAGCCTCTTATACCACCTCCTATGAGACAGAAAACCAACGTACAGTTAGAAAGCACGCTGCATGAACCCAGTGTTCAGCATTCTTCTGCCCAGCAGCCTAACATCATTCCTCAAGAGGCAAATGAACAAAATACTTCTATAGAAGACAATACCAACAATGTACCTAACAGTAGTGTTGCTAAAAGGGAGCTGATTGAACCTGTGAATAAAAATAGTACCAACAAACAAATTCCCAGTAGTTTGGAATTGGAGGTTAAAGAACTGACAAAGACTGAACAGCAAAGGGTAGAACAGCTTGACAGTATTACTGTAAGTGCTGAAAGTAAAGTTTCTGAGTCTGGTCAAGCAAATAATACTGAGATGCAATTTGAGCGTGCTACTCTCAAAGAGGAAAAAGTTTTTCCTGAACCTGAAAGGAATACCAGCACGATTAGGACTGATAAGAAGACTGATGGAAGCGAAGGTGCTAAAAGTGAATTTACAAAACCCGAGCAAGCTAAACCTGCTATTGTAGTATCACAGTCTCAGGGAAATTTGGCTACTGTTGAAGAAAAACATAAGGAAGAAAATGTTGTGAATGCCTTGGAAGCTGTTGCACTTGTCCAAAACCAAAATGTGGTACCTTTATGTGAATCAGCAACACAAGCACGTGAAGGATCCCAGCTTACAGAGCAGAAGCCCTCTATTATAGATGCAAATAGTTCAGTTCAGAACAGACTGACTAACGCACAGCCTGCGGACTCTGTTGTAGCTATGCAACCTAATACAGAAACGTCAATGATCAATTCTCATGTTCCCTTAAGAGATAGTGTGGTTTCAGAGAAGCCATCTGACCGTCTCATGATTCACTCTAGTACTGAGATTTCTTTGTTAGTGAAGAAATGTAAAGATGAAAAGACAGACACATCTTTGAATGATGGAACTACAGTTAAAAAGAGAGGTAACTCTGAGCTTAATGAAGATCATAGGGTTGTACCCATTAATGCATCGGAAAAAATTGTGAAGGACAATGTATCTAAAGAGACAGTGAAGACTTCAGATGATGATTCACGTGGTGTAGTTGTAGTTGAAAATAAAGCCACCCAGCCCGCTGTAGCTAACACAAAGGCTGTACACTGCAGTCCTTTGGACTCGCGTGCAGAATCAGGGATTCCAGTAAAGGGTAGTGCTAAATCTAGTTATCGGGATGAGAAACCTTTATTACTCAAAGAGACAGATTCAAAGACTGTGCTTAAAAGCACAAAGGACGTTACAGAAGGCAAACAGAATACAGCCACACCACAGTTTACTATTGGAGCAAAACGCCCTTTTCCTCCTGAGACCATAAAGGGTAATGCATCAGTTAAGGAAACCCCATCGAGTTGGTTAGATGTGGACAATAGTTTTGGGAAAAAACAGACAAAAAAGGAAGGGAAGCTGAACACATCTAAAAGTGAAGACAGGAGTCTGGACACGTCAGGTGATTTTCAGGACTTTATAGAGAACATCAAGAACCTTGGCAGTCCCTTTTCTTTGCCACCAAAAAAACACAAAGGTCTCAAATCGCTGTCACCCCCATTTGCCATGCCACCCATCAAAGAAGACAGATTCGAGAAAACCTTAGATCCAGATTTCTTCAAATTTGGTCTGGGAAAAAAAGATGGACTGAAAGACCCGACTCCAGCAATGTCAGTCAAGCTGCAAAGCAGTGAAGCAAAAAGCAAATTTGCGCCCAAGCGTGTAACTGCAGAGCAGAGCATGCTTTATAAATCCCTCCTGCCGTTGAGCAAAACCACAGGTCAGGAAACTAAAATGGCTGAGAGCAAAGAGAAAGAGACTCAGGAAGATCTAGGGAAAGCAAAATCTCGTCTCGAGAGAAGTTCTGTACTTGCAAGTCTGCTGAATTCCTCGAGTACATCAAAAACAAATCTGCCAAACACTAGTACAGGACCTGGCAGTGTGGTTTCTCCTTCCACTGCCCAAGCAAAATCACTGCTGGCAACACAGTCCAGCACATTCTCACCTTTGCCTATAACAGATGTGGGTGGGAGGGCTCCAGAGTTTGAGAAACCACTATCTGCAGCAAGTGACTCACTCTCCCTCCCATCTGATTTCCCAACCCTGTCGTTTTCTGATGTCAAGTTGCCAAGTTATTTGGAGAAGTACCTCCAGCCAGACAGTGCAAAAGCTGAACTCAGCTCGGAAGCTAACCTCCAAATAACAGAAATGAATGTGCCTAAATTTGGAATGGAGTTTGGTTACAGCACAAGTCACAGCAGGCTTGAAAATGGACCTCTGGACCTTCCAGGATCAATCAATCCAAGCCTCTTTGAAGCAGCTCAGACTCCACTGCCTTTCATTCCAGCAAACACTGAGGTAAGATTTTGATTTGAATCATTTTACATCAACTCCAAATTCATCTATGTGTGCAGATATCTGCTGTATGTCTATTATGCTTAGCAACTTTTATTAGTGGATACCAATACATACATTTACGATTTTCTAATTTTCCAGTTATTATTTAAATATAAATATCTGTACGAAACTGCCAGATTTTTGCTGCAACTTAACTACCAGCTTTTGGAACGAATGGAACGTTGTTCTTTACTTAAAATATATCTAATCTGCTGAAATGAGTCAGATTCGCTTGGAATCTTTTTTGTTGCGTCTCGCTGTGAGATGGAAAAATTCAAGTTAGGGCAGTACAGACAGCATGTTTCAGTAGTTTTGTAATTCTTTATTTAACATTTAACTGCTTTCTAACAGAAAAGAGGCTGCAGGTGATTCTTTTGCATGATAAAGGATTTGTATCCAGGGGGTATTATTTGAAATGCTTGGCATGTAACTACAGTAGTAAAATTGTTGTAAAATTGTTTGAAGACTTAGTCTGTCCAAGACTGTTACATTTTTATTTCCTCAAAATATCTTTGAGAAGGAGATGTTTTATACATGATTTTAAACATTTTTGTAATATTACTGTCTGCTACATACAGTAGTTATTATTTTCTTAAGGAGGAAGTGGTGGAAGGCTTGAACTGAAAAGCTCAAATTTGATTTTTTTCCTTCGACTTTTATTAAACATACATACATGTGTTCTGGGGTATTCTTAGTAAATCACATTATAAAACTGCAAAGCAACACATAACACTGAGTCTGCAAGAAACAATGCAAAACTCATGATCAGTCTCACTAGGATAAGATAAGATTTGTATTGTCCCCTGAGGGAAATGTTTATGGACACACAGCACTCCTGTACATTTAAATAGAATGCAAACAAAAAAAGATTATGAAAAACATTGCACATTATTCTATTACAAAAAAATAAGAAAAACATTGCACATCACCCTATTGCACATGTATGGCACATAACAACATGTAACATTTATAACACATTACAAAACATATTGCATTCAAGTGGGTTTTAAAAGTCAAAATTGTGTTTTTCCTTGACATTTGCGTTGACAGCTTTAATGGATAGTGGAACAAAGGAATGTTTGTATCTGCTTGACTTGCATTTGGGAGCCCTAAAACGTTTGCCAGAAGGAAGAAGTTGATATTAAGAATTGAGCATGTGGGAAGGATCTGATATAATTTTTTCTGTCTGTTTGATTATGGATTTTTCAAAGATTGTCTGCAGGGAGGGTTAAGTTTCTTCTTCCCTTTTTTAAATGTGTCTGTAATATGCTAGTTGAAAGTTCAAAAGCTTTACATAGTATTTTACAGAGAGGTTATACAAGAAAAGTACAAAGTTTTTGTTTTGAACCACCTCGCATATTTCCATTCCTCAAAGATGGGTTGTCAAAAAAGGCAATATTCCTATTGGGATATACTCTAGGATGCTGGAATAGGTATCGGAGAGTAAGTCATGTTTTTCATGCTCTCTTTTTAATCACAGATACCACTCATAGATCAAAGAAGAATCCATAAGCGACCGGGGAAGGTAAGCACAGCTTTGATATTTTTTGACCATTGCACATCCAGTGAGGAATTCAAATGATAAGACAACCTGGTTTTCAGTTGGAACCACAATGTTAATCATGATATTGATTAAACTGATCTGTTAGCCAGTAGCCAATGTATTGATTAGTAATTCTTGTTCTATTTGCGAGGGACATTTATAGCCAGACTAAAACTTATACTAGTGATCTCTTTCTCTGGTTATAGAGAGCCCTAATCAACAATGACAGCACATACATTGCCTTCTATAGGTATTGGGACATTGAAGTCAAAGTGGCTATTTTTCTGTAGAATCAATTCAGAGAGACTTGAGATTGAATTGAGAATTTGAGATGAAAAGATGAATATGAGGCAAAAGTACAGTATGTCATCTTTTATTTCTGGGTATTTCTGTGCATATACTGCTTTAACATTTTAGAATAATACAACTTTTAGGTCAGCATATGTATTGGGACAAATTAACTTAAAATTAAAATAGTACAAAACTTTGGAAGTACTGTCAGGGGGGGTTGGTGACTTTAGTCTCGTTTTCAGCAAGTGAAATACATCCTCGATTGGATTTAAATCGGGAGATTGATTTGTCCAGTCTAAAATGTGCCACTTATTTTTCTTGGAACTCTTTGGTTGCATTAGAAGTCTGTTTTGGGTCATTGTCTTTCTGCATTATGAAGAGCCAACAAATGAGTCTGGAGGTATTTGTAAAGGCAGAAATTTGTAAAGGTATTTGTGAAGTCTTTCTGCTACTACAGTCATTAGTTACATCATCAGCATTAGCGATGAATGAGTCAGTTCCAGACGTGGCCATGCATACCCAAACCATGACAAGTACCTCCACCATGTTTCACAGATGAAGTGGTGTGCTGGGGATCATCAGCAGCTCATTCATTTCTCTTACTTTGGTAAGGTATGACTTTGGTTGAGGTTTAGTTCCAGAACTCTTTTTAGCAAATAGTAATCTGGCTTTTCTATTTTTGGTTGTGATGAGAGGTTTGCATCTTGCGGTGTAGCCTTTGTAATTCTGCTGTCGAAGTTTTCTGCAAACAGTAGATTGTGATGTCTTCACCCCTGTACTGTGGGAGGTGTTGGTGATTTCAGGGACGGTTGTTTTATAGTTTTGCTCCACAGCTCTGATACTTTTTCCATCATCAGTTGTTTTCCTCTGCCAATTTGGTCGTTGCTGATTGGTACATGTAAGTACACTGGTGATTTTCCTTCTTTTTCAAGATATTCCAAATTGTTGATTTTTGTATGCCAAGTTTCTATGCTATGGTTCTGATTGAATTATTATTTTCTTTCGGCATCCAAATTGCTTGCTTCATATTCATAGACAGTTCTCTAGTCTTCATGTTGGTTTAGACCTACTGACTCCCAGGATAGACACAGGGGAAGAGAAATGGCTAAATCCAGCACGACACATTCATAGCTCTTTAATGTGTGCACAATCGATGCAACAAGAAACACCGATAAGAAACACTTGGCAGCCAATTGTCCCAAAACTTACACTCACATGAAATGTGGGGATTAAACACAAAAAGGGCTATTACTCTTAAACGGTACAACATATAAGCACAGAAATACCCAGAAATAAAAGTGACATTCTATACTTTTGCCTCATGTTCATTTTGACAGTACATCTCAAATGTGAATTGCTTGATTATAAAGCTAAAACAGCAATTTTGACTTCAGTGTCCCAATACTTATAAAAGGCAGTGTATGTGACCAAGTACTTTTGTTTTGTCATAATAATTGTATTTAATAGTTTAAAATGTGGCCTTTGTAGAATCACAGTAATTGTTCCTCTTGGAGTTACTGTGTAATTATTATGCAGTTACTGTATCTATAGCTGGACAACGATTTTATCTTGTATATTTCTACACATCTTGAGGTTTCAGGCCTAAATGCAGTTTAGGTCAAAATCGAAGTGATATGTGATTATTGTGGGACTTTTTTATATGAGAGTGCACCTACCCAATCTTCTATCCTTTAACAGATTGTCATTCATGAGCTGCCACAGTTTGGCGGGGAAGCATTTGAAATTTGCAAAGATGTAGAGGATGCCAGTTATATGAAATTGTCACCTGTGATTTCAGTCAAGGTGTTAAGAGGATGGTAAGTTATTTTATACAGTTATGCAAATCTATTAGGTCATTTTATAAAACCTTTATGCTCCACAACAGCTCCGTGATGACACACTTGCAGTCTCCAAAACTGGTCCTCTAAGTCCTAAATTGTGGAACTCTCAACCTGAGACTGTATGAGCATCCCTATCTTAAAGGGGAACTGGAACACCATTTTTATATTTCATGGTTAGAAAGAATCATTGATGAGTGCATTTCAAACCACAAATAAAGTAAAATGTACACAGTAATGTCCCACTGGGGTGGAGTGGTGGCTCTGTTGCTAAGGATCTGCGCCTGTGGTTCAAATCCTGTGGCCAGCAGAGGAATAATACTCCGTTGGGCCCCTGAGCAAGGCCCTTAACCCCAGCTGCTCCAGGGGCGCTGTATATGGCTAATAAAGTGATCTCTCTTATCTCTCTTAAATCACAAAATAGACTAAATTTCCCGGTTTGAGCAGCGCCTTATTGCTGTCATTGTCTGTGATTCAGAACACGGCATCAAAATCTGTGGTGACTTGAACAGACTCTGTTACCTTGTAAACAAGCAGGCTGTCAATACATCTCTTTTAATCCAATAGATGTAGTTCTCTTGACTTCAAGATGATTTTGCTGATAAATAGTACTTACTTGTTAACTGTTTGCAGATCATATTGAAGCATTTCTGCAGTGAAATGTCTGCTGCACAATCTGTACTTATTAGTTCGTACATTGCTTTACATTATTCATTACAGAGACTAGTGAGCAGGAAGGGCCAGTTTAAGACAGTTCTCACAAGCCCTTGCTCTCGTCCATGGTGAGACCAGAGGTTTGCGACAACATGGCGACCATACATTATTTTCACAAAGTTCACGATTTTGTACTTAATTCATAACTTTTGAAATATTGCTATACTACCAATTCATTTATTACCAAGATTTAATAACCAGTCTGAGAAATTGGTTCCCCTTTAAAAGGGCATTTCTTAACTTTCAATACAGGCAGTTTTTTTCTGTCTTAAAATGTTATTTTTACCTTTCTACTATTGAATTGTTATCTTTGCTATAAAGTGAACTGGAATGTGCTGAAATTAAAGGCAATGCATTCATAAGTACAACCTCTTTAGATAAAAAAGATCATTTTAAACATGACTAATTTGCTTGTTCCATACTCACACCATTTGAGTACAGTTTTTCCACTTCTCAGTGTTCGATGCAATTCTATGTAATGACTTCTTGTGTCACTCTTTCATGTTTCTTTATTGACTTAGGAGATGGTGACTGGGTTACCTCTGTCAGTGTATTTGAGAATTTTGATTATTTGGATCAGATCTCTTTATAAACTTCTCTGTTCAGAAACGTTTCAGGTCTATTAGTATAAAGATATAAGATATTCCCTTTGTCCTGTGTATCTTTTCTGGACTTACTGCAAAATCTTTTTTTTTTAACTTGGTTACCAAAAGTGTACACAATACTTTAAATGAAAAGTCTTACTAGTGTGTTATATAATTTAGACAACATTTCTTCATTTAAATTATATGATTTTATCTATATATCCTAACATTCTTTTTGCCTTGTTTTGTCCAGAAGATACAAATATGTCAATTTATACAAATGAAATGGGGTTACTGGCATTCTTTACTATTTATTAATCTGACACTTTCATACTCAAGATATGGTATTTAGTGTCTGTTTAGTAAGTCAAGCCACAAAAAGAAATTGTCTATCTAAAATTCCAACATCATATTTTACAAGCATCTATAATATAAAATTAAACATAAAAAACAGTTAATTCATGCAGTAGCAGCACGTCATCTTCTGGAATCTAAGTGTACTAATTTTGATCTCTAGTTTGGTATGCTTTCCATGTGCTTTTTGGTTTTGGACTTAATTTTACCTTGAAGCTTGTCTGTAAGCATGTTTAGATTTTTTTTTGGGGGGGGGTTTATGGGAAATCAGCACAACATATGAGCTCTGGCAACCTTTAAGCTCCCTCAAAATAATATTGAAACAATTGAGAGTCTGTCATCATAGGTGATGTCAGTAGTTATACTGGTTTTGTGAAAAACATTAATCCTGCTGCAGTCTTTGGTATTTGCTGTACATTTTCCTTACCAGGTAATAGATTTTTAAAGACTTGAGTAAATTAAGTGTGTTGTGACAAATTCAAGATACATGAAGCCACGTTATGGAATACAGCTCACCGATATAATTTGTATTTGTTGACAGTATTCATTAGGAATTGCTTATATTATGAAGATTTCTTATGCCTTTTTTTCTATGGTGTAGCCTGTGAGGTGAACATTGGTCACTATGGCAGTCTTAACATTTCATTAAATGTTTTCAGCTGGATTTTATATGAAAAGCCCAATTTTGAAGGCCGTACAATAGCCTTGGAAGAAGGGCCAACCGAGCTTGAGAATGTCTGGAGTGAGCCTGTCTGTGAAGATAAAGTAGATGCTGAGACACAGCAGGACCCCACTTCTCCCATGGTAATCGGCTCCATTAGACTTGTGGTAAATGTAAGTAACCTAATCTTCCTAGCATCCTCTCATTTTCATCATTGATTCTGTTATTGTTGTGATGAAACATATTGTCTCCAACATCGAATGCATCTCTTTAAGCATTACACAGTTATCACAAATAGAATGTAATGTATTATTGGCTACACATTTTCGAGAAGAAAATAGATAAAAGAATGAATCCAATATTCCTTCAGGCTTCCATAAATCTCTTGAAAAAAATGGCAGCTACTGTACTACACTCAGGTCAATTTTTTGAAAGCTATGCCATCACAAAAAGCATGTGAGCTAAATATCTCCTAAGACTTTGTAAATTACCTTGGTTACTTTTGTTTCTTCTTTTTTCAGGACTACAGTATCCCTCAGATCGACCTGTACACAGAGCCTCAGGGTTTGGGAACTGTGACGATGTACTGTGATGACACTTTGGAAACATGCACATATGGATTACCACTTTGCACAGAGTCTGTCAAAGTTCATTCTGGCGTGTAAGTGTAATGATTGCTGCTTTATTTATTTTATTTTTTTCCTGAACAGGTAAAAATTGTCATTCTGATAGTAAGCAACGTCATTTTCTGAGCTGTATGTACAAGCAAGCTGACTGTTGTTGAAAGCATTTTACAGATATTGTTGTTAAGTGAATGCTTACAGATGTTTAAGATACTTTTGTCTGTTTACTTTGGCATACATCATGATGTATGTCAGTAGTAATGAACAGTGTTTCCAGGAATCATAAATGCACCACATTTTTGGAGTCTTTGGACACCATGAGCACTATATTTAAAACAAGTGATAAAATCACAATAGGGTGTGTGTGTAGTAAATGCATGCGAATGAAAAAGCTCCTTAGAAATGTACAGAAGCCATGAAGCCATGCTATAAACAATTGAAGACCAAAGCATTCAAGTTGCAGTCTTGCGAAAGATTGAGGGAGCCTTCAGAAATACACAACAAGTAGAATGTCCTTGTTCTCAAGTGTCAAGGACTCTTCAGACGCCTAGGCGGGAAAATTGAAACGTTTGTAGAAGCTGTATAAGTCGAGGAAGTAAAATCTGTTACTACTGTCTCATTTGTGGAAAAATTACACAGCTGTTCAGTCCTATAGATCACCTGAAAGAAAAGGAAATGGGAGGCATTCACTAGGCAGGGATTAACAGTGATTGGGACAACTGAAAGGTTTCAGCTTCTGGTATTCTGCCTGTTGGAACCAAGGAAAAGAGTATGTCCCAGAAGTTAACTTTCTCTGCTGCTCCCTTCAGTGCAGACTTGCTTATGCTGTTATACATGAAACAGTCAATGTAGCTTTGGAAAACCGAAATGGGGGGTGTCAGACATCCCTGCCGCAATGTTATAAGAAAACATTTTCTAAAGGCACAGCCCAAAGTGTGAGTGGGAAACTTATCTAATCAGGAACTTCGTGAATGATTGTGCTACCAATGGTTTATTGGTACAGGGGTGCGAGTAGGTATTTTGGATATTCTTACTTATTATTCAGGTTGGGTTGGTCCTGCAAACCAGGAAGTGAGATATTATTTAATGGAACTAACAGAAATGGCTAAATATATGGTTGTCGGAAAAGTAGAGTTTACATGACATGATGGCTGGGTTAAGGTGCCTGCCAGGAGATGATCAGTCCAAATTCTCATTTTGGGTGCCATTTGTGCTGAGTCATTTGGTTTCAGAATGATCATTTAGGACAGTGTGATAGGAAAACTGAGTGCAGAAAGCCATTGCTACTCTCATCAGTCTCCTAGACAAAGCAATGGAGATTCCAGAAGACAAGGCCGACCCTATAATAAAGTTTAGGTGGGTAGCTGCGTCAGCATGCATAGGCTGCAAAGGAACAAGTAATCGGTTTATTCCAAGCTGTACAGAGAAGAAAGAAATCACGTTTCAGCAGTGGAGCCTCCTTCAGGTATTAGGTTTTTGTCCTCATACCTGAAGAAGGATCCACGGCCGAAACGTTGTGTTTTCTTTCTTCTCTTTTCAGCATGGAATAAACCCATTACATGTTCCTATAATAAAGTGTGTTCAGAAAATATGTTCTCCAGATATTGTGCAGGTTATAGACAGTATGTCCAATGCTGAATTCAAGTCAAACTTGCGAAGGACATAACCGTTCTGTAATTTGAGCCAAAGGATTAAAAATGTCTGTGTGGTACAACTAGACAAGCCCTGCCAAGGGCCTTGTTGAAATGCACAATGAAGAGCCTCCTTTCATTGAAATACCTACAGAATGTACACCTTGCACTAAATATAAAAAACAGTTATTGGAAGTTTCCCAAGACAGTAACGTTCCAGTCCATTGTTAGCAAGTGCAATTAATTCACTTAGCAATATCTATAAAGCCAAATCCTAGAGATGAAGATAAAGCTTCAGCACCAGCGCTGAGAGAGTCTTGGGCCCCCACTGTAGATCTTAGTTACCTAGAGAGACCACAGAAGGAAATAGTCTTTCAATTGTCAGATGGGACATGATGGGTTTATTCATGATGAGGATGACCTTGGGTTGAAACCCGTCAAATGGGAATTAACGGGACAGGTGTTAGCACTGTGTGAAACTGTAGGCCTTTATACATACTATAGACAATAAAGAGGTAAAGGACGACGTGTGAAAATATTATTAAAAGGCTGGATTTTGCTAACAATCCTATGTGTGGCAATGTTTCAGAACATAGTCAGAAGGTTCTTAAACATTGCCAGAGAATGGAAGCCATATAGTTATCTAATGGTGTTTGGAAATCCACCCCATTCTTCAGTTAGGGGTGAATTTGGAATGTCACAATTGAAACACATAGTAGAGTGGGCAGTTGTGATTCTGTGTCTCTCCATCTCTCATTGCAGCTGGCTGGTGTTTGATCAACCTGGCTTCCAGGGAGCTCTGTCTGTGCTGGAGCCAGGAGAGTATCCCTGCCCTGAGTCATGGGGATTTCATGAGCCATTTGTCAGATCTCTAAGGCCTCTCAAAATGGTGACTTGCCATAAGTTCTGAGTACCTTTAACTGATTTCAGTATCTTTTTTAAAGGTTCTATATTATTGAGATCCGGTAGTATATAATTTACTTTGATCTTATATTCAGTTTTATTATTTAGATTTTTGCAAACTTAATCTATACATTCTTTTTATCATGTATTAAGCTAACAGCACATTAGTAAGAGTTTTAGGCAAACTACAAGTAACTGATACAACTATTAATAATGTTGATTAACACAACTTAAATTATTCTCTTGTATAAATTGTTTAGTAATTGTGAATAGCTTCTGCGTATAAACCCATTTATTACCTCTCATTAGTACTTTCAGCGATTCCAGTAACTCATTCCACTGTTCGGTTTGTTGTGTACTTTTCCCCACTGATGCACATTTGCATAATAAAGTAAATTTGGTTTTTGGTGTGAAATTCAATTCAATGATTCAAATTAATTTCAGTGATAAAGCAACATGGGTGTCCATTCAAATATTTTTTTTCACATTTTAAAGGAAATTATTTTTAAATTATACATAAAAGAGATTTTAATCAATCCCCTAAGCATGCTATGTACTTTTTTGACTTTGTTCATCATCCTCTTAACATTATATGTATGTTCAGTACTTGTGTATTTCTTCTATATAGATGTTTATAAGTGTAGTTTTGTAAATTAAATTATACACTGGGGTCACAGGTTTTGTCGTGCTGTAATATTAAGGACTTTGATTGGTAATTATACTGTTGTCTCCAGTCATATATCTCATTAGCATTTTATGTGTCTCATGTTTTGTAGGGTGGACTGAAGGTAGAGAAGCCTACTGAACCAAAGGTATATGAAAAAAAAATAATTCTTTAAGTGGCACTGATTTGTATGAAAGGCCTAATTCTTATGAAAACATTTTAAATAACATTGGAACTATCTCAATAAAAAAAAACTCTCAGTTATATATTTAGCATGATCTATCTTGATCTAATAATATGATTTTTAAAATTATCGTTAAGGTGTGTTCACAAAGAAATTCACAAATTCAAATTCACAAAGAAACAGGACTTATTCACATGTCCTTGACAATGGCTCAAAAGAAACCATGTTTCTGGTTGAAAGTTTACCGACAAACAAGTTTTGTTCGAATATGGAACTGGGGATGAAAAGACTTGCAAAAAGTATTTATTATATGACTTTTATCCTGCACTAAGAATGTGAATATTCCTGCAGCTGACAAGCAGTGGCCCGTTCCAGTGGAATTCCCTGAGTCGTTCAGATTCATATCCTAGCAGCAAGCTAACCTTTCATCATTGTTGTTACAGGCTATTGTCTATGAAAAGCCGTCATTCGAAGGAGAATTTGTAGAGGTTGATAAAGATGTTTTCAGCTTTGTTCGGGAAGATGAGAATTCAGAGATTTCAACTTGTTGGGTAAAGGAACTGAGTTCTGTTGGCTCCATCAAAATCCTTGGTGGACTGTGAGTACTGAAATTCTCTCAATTTTCTAGCTGAACATATCATATGCCCTTAGAAAAACTAAATTGTGTTATGTTTACATTACAATGAATAACATGTGAGCACAAGCATGTGTTTTCCATTTTGGCCGAATATTGCAAATTAACACTCAGTACTGTATGTTGTATAATTACTGGCTTTCATTTACTCCTTTGCTTTTGATATACAGTTGATATTCTGTGCTTCTTCCTACTCTTTTACAGCTGGGTGGGTTATGAAAAGGTGGGGTTTGAAGGACGACAGTATGTCCTCGAAGAAGGAGAGTATCCACACTGGAGGGACTGGGGAGGATGTGATGGGAAGCTCCTGTCTTTGAGACCTGTGGTGGCCGTAAGTCCTGACGAATGACTGCATTGTCAAGGATGGCCTTTTATGGCCAAAGTACAAAATAGGCTTCTTTATTATAATTTATTATAACCGTCAAAATAAAAAAAAAACTTCATTGCAATTAAAAGTTTCCTGACCTTTTAACAGTCTGCAATAATAATCCATTGCTAAGACCTATTATTAGCAGAAACCTGCTAAGGTAGGTGATTGTTAGGTTCAAGTGGGCTGAACACCAGTCATTACTAGCCTACACACATGTACAGTAAATAACTCCCACTGTGAATCTTTGGCATCATTAAAACCAAATTCTGATGCAGTTGCTGGGACCTTAGCTTATATGGCAGTTTATTAACCAATATGACAGAGGCAGGCTGTTATTATGGGAACAGGTTATAGATCCTTTTGTTTGCCAGTACAGTTTAGGATTAGAAAGCTAGTGTACCTCTGACATTTTATATGCACATAGAAAAATCTTAATTTTTAATGATTGTTCTATCCTTATCTATTCAGAATGTCTCCTGAGCTTTTATGATAGAAAAGCTAACCGCAGTTTTCTTTTCATTTCATAGGACTTTTTGTCACCAAGCATGAAAATGTACAGTGACAAAGACTTTGGAGATAAAGGAAGCAACATTGCTGTTTTGGGAATGATTGCAAACATGGAGGACACAGGTTATGGAATAAAGACACAGTCAATTGAGGTCATAAGTGGTGTGTAAGTGACGCATTTTTTTAATAAGAGTTTAGTGACAAAAGTTTGAACTAAGATGTCTTAAGGTCAACTGGCCGCTCAGTTTTAGTTATGTACATTAGGTAACCAAGAGTATTTGTACTGTAGCTACAGTTTTTTATTTTATATTTATATTGTTTATATTTATAAAAAGAGAGGTATTAGTAAACAAATTCTATTGGAACCAGTAGCATTTGTTGCATTATTAAAGCTTCTCAGTTTATAATCTCTGTTCATCATTTGGGCATGATTGAATATTGTGTACTGTACATGATAAGTGTTTCCTTCTCCCAATTCCCAGTGACACCACAAAACCCCCAAATAATTTATATCAGTGGCATTATGATCACATAAAAAATATTAATTTTTATTGAATGTCAAGGTTGCATGATTTAATCTGAAGCTGCAATATGTATTTATATTCAGCTGTTACTGTGGTACGTAGCCCGATCTTGCATTTTCCTTGGTTTCCTCGGTCCAGTCTTTGCAGTGGCAGCATCATTCCTTTAAATTTCAGCCAGTGCAGAAAGTAGAACAAGAATTTCCTGTTGAATCAGAACCTTGTGGTTTACTTTTTTTTTGTTTTTCTGGACTCTGATCCTGATCTGATCCTGTAGGTTACAATGCAAGCTGTCCAAAATCTGGCATTGTCATTTTGGTTTGTTTTCCCTGAGGGGTTATTCTGAGGTTTCTAACTGTTAAACGAATATTTAAAGACTATTGTTATTGTTGTTCAATAGCTTGTATACTTCAGTACAAAACACATTATGAATGTAATGTGCACTATATAGTAGATATGTAACATTTCTTTGTGTTGGAAAATGGGCAGTATTTCAGTTTTCAGGGCTAATTGGAATCCCTGTTGGACATGTTAAAAGAAGCTGACACTTTCAGAAAACAGTTTGTCAGAGCACAAGAACATTAGAATAGTCACGTGTGAGAGGAGGGACACTTCAGAGTAAGCATTCAAACCAAGCCTGCGTATCTTTCAGTGGTGAGAGGTAATTGGAGGCTAAACCATATGCTAGCATGCAGAGGAGAGTGTAAGAGCTGGTGCCTCAAGCTGGAATTTAACACAGAACCCTGGAGCTGTGAGTCAACAATTCTGAGCACTCTGCTGCTGTGATGCTCAGTAAATGACAAACACACTTCACATTCAGTGTAATAGCACTGTGTTTGATTCAAAACAGGTGAAAGTTATAGTGAAGTACTGAAATGGAAGATTTAACTCCATTGTCACTTAAGATGTGAAAATGAGAAAAATGTATTTGCTTTATTTTCGGCTTCCATAACAGTTTAATTGAGTCATTTTCCCTCATAGAATATATATATAAACTGCTCTTCTAGTATGTTTTTCTAAAAAAATTGATTCAGTATGGTGAACCTTTCACTGATTTTGTGAGACTTCATCTTGCAAAAGTGGGATGTAATTTAAGAAGACGTGAGATTGAAAATTGTCTCCTTCATTCCTTATGGTGTAAAGATTAAATAAATGCTTCTCCTTTCATGGTTGCTTGAGGTGTCAGTTAGCATTAGTTATCTTACCTCTGAAGGTGTTTTGTGTTCTGCAATGCGGTGCTCCACCCCTGGAACAAGTTTGGGCAGTTCCACTTTCCATCCAGGATGTGCCAGCCTCATCATTTCCTCTGTCAGTTAGTCATCTGCAGACTTGCCTGCAGGCTTTCCAGCTCACTTTTTACTGGCTAAATACCCAGCACCCGCAGCACAAAATATTAGGGGCAGGAGTGTCTGGCATGGCCTTCCCCTGCTTATACTTCCAAACGCCAGTGTAATTCTTCATTGTCTATTATATCTCAACATTGCTGCCCTTTCAGTCTAGCCTGTTATTTCATGATGAGAATGATTTCACAGCACTGCACCTTGCAGGAACTGTGCTGTGACCTATTCACTTTCAAAACCATAAAAAAACAGAACAGAATTAAGAAAAAAAAGCTAGAACTGTGAGAAATATAACAGAGGAATAAAACCCATGAGAAATTTAATTCAGTACTAGGCTCCATGATAAGTTTATTTACAGTTCTTCAACAAGTGTACTTTTTGCAGCTGTGTTTGTATATGAAACATCAAATGAAGATCAGAGAATTTGGTTCAAAATTTTACCTTTTTATACAGAATTGACCAAGTTTATATGAAAGAGATTACATATGATTGAACAATATATTTGAACCTTGACGTAAACCAGTGAAAAAGTCAGAAAAGTATATTTTTCTTCTTCCTTTATCATTTCTATTTCTACTAAATAGAGAAAATACATTTATACCATCTTATGTGTTTTATACTTACAGAAAGGATATACTGTAAAATGATTTGGCTGTCAGATTGTGAATGCATCGGGAGGGATGCATGTTTCTTCCTGGGGTTTTACATTTCCTGATGTCTGAAATACCTGGACAAAGACAGGCGTGTCAGAAATGTAAAGCATCTTGTATGGCCAGCATGAGAAACCCAAGTGGAGATATGTAGCCAGTTAATGTCCCATTTAATGATGGCTATTTCTGTCATCTAAACCAGGTTAAGTGTTTGTTGTTAATTATCCAAACTGAACATTGTTCCTAATTTAAACATGAAAATGGTAAACAGCTCTCTCCAAGTATGTAAACATTCATCACTGTATGCAAACACAAATGGTTACCAATATAGCTGAGAAAGATTTTTCTTTCTTTTCAGAACGCTGATTTCCATAGTTTTGTCTCAGAAAGTTAGTGGTTTCATTACCTTAAAATATCTGTGACTGAAAACACTCCCTTTCTATATGCATATGAATTGTTCATTACTTGGTTTTCCTCATTTTATGTTTGAATGGTCTGTAGTTCAAGCACAGAAGTGCTTTAACATTACATCAGTTTTTTACCATGTTTTTTTTTTAAATAATACAAACTCATGTTATAAAATACAAGCAAAAAATGTTTAAATGTGGTTAGGATTTTTACAGCTTTTTTGTGTTGCTTTCTTGTAAGGACTAAAACCGGTGTTAACTGACTAAGGTTACAAAGGAAAATAGTTGCAATGATCATTCCTGACCTAATTCTGCTTTTATACCCAACGATTACGTTCTCTTTTAAATGTTTTAAATGTTGTAGAGGAAATATCTTATTGATAGCTTCTCACTTAAGGTGTATTAAGAGTCCTTTCTCATATTCTAGTTTATTCCCTCCGTTGAAAGCTTGTTAAGCTTTATCATTTCAACTGCTGGATATGTACAGATAGGGGCATGTCTCTTGTGTAATGATGGCTCAGTCTGAGGGCCAACATTAACCATAAATCACTGAGGAATCAGTGAAATACTGAGAGGAGAAATAAAAAAAACAAAAGCTTTGTCTGAAAGTATAAAGGATCAATCACAACACTTTGAAATTCTTTAGACAATACACAGTTTTTATTTCGAGGCAGCCATGCAAAAGCTCAGAGGTTGAAAATGGAAAATGTTCACAAAAAAACTACTGTATATTGTCTGGTAGCTTTTTATACTTAAATAGCTATTTTTAGTGTAATCCTATATAACTAGTTTCTGTATACCTCTTATTTGCAGGTGGGTGGCCTTTGAGAGTCCTGACTTTACTGGAGAAAAATATGTCTTAGAAAAAGGATTATACAATAACTTTGAAGACTGGGGAGCAAATAATTTTAAAATCTCATCCGTTCTGCCTGTGTTTCTGGTAAGATAAATCTGTTGGTTTTAAGCCTTTTCTCATAAAAGACGGGGCAGTATTTTGGCCCAAATTGTTATATATGGATTTGTTTTAAATAAACCACAAGATTGGTGGTTTGCATGTTTATTATTTTATTGTTTTAAACACCTTTCCAATGGTCTGTGCAGGTCATAAAACCTGGAGTAATGCCAGTTTAAATATGTACGTTTTAAGGTGAGATTTGAAAACAGCTGGATTTGGAAACCCTGATTTTCTCCTGAATTCCTAACCTGTCCAGGATTACAGCAGGAGAATGCTCTATGACTTGCATTCCTAGTCTTGTTGAAGGGATGAACAAGAGGCCATTGTGAAAAGACCAGAGATCTCAGACAGGGATGTGATTTGTCTGATGGTCAGAATATGGGGGAAGCATGTTATCCTTTCTTTCATTCCCTTTTCACAGTTTTTGGTACATTTAGGTGTTTTCTCCTATTTCCTTGTTGTTTACAGTTCTCTTTATGATTTGCATTTTAGGAAACGCTTTGTGGTTCAGAACCAAAATTTAAGGTAAGCTAAAATACAATTTTTACATTTTTAATTTTCCTTTAATGGAAGAAGTAACTGTCACTAATTTAGCATCTCCCTCTTTTCACACAATCCTATTTTGTTTTGTGAAATGTGGTTTTCATACCGATTAAAGACGTTTTTTGTCTGTAAGAAGATTCCTTTCAAATATCTTTCAGTGTCAGTACATCTCTTTGTACACATTACATATTTGAACACCGTGCATTTCAAAATAGCATTTAAAAAAGGTTTGACTTGTCAAAATGGGAAACCAGCACAGTCTTTTGTTACAACAATGAACATAAGTCATTATTCAAGATAATCAGTTTCATTAAAAAGTTATTGTGTCTGACAGTTCAAAGTTTCTCTTTTATATAATTTCTGTAACTTTGTAAACTCAGAATGAATGAACTAGATTTCAAAATGAACACCTGATTTATATCGTTTGTTCCTACAGTATGATTTAAAATTGTTAGCGCTGTCATTGTCACATCTGTGATTTTGTATTTTTGGATGACAGACATTCGTCACACCCCTTGAAAAATGACAATACTGTTGTCTGGGAAAAATAACAATAGTTTTGTCTGTACGTACAAAACCTCTACATGTTTAGAATTCTTGTTCATTCCCATGCAGGCAATAAAAATTATGACGTCAAAAGACAACATACCAAAATTAAATGCTTCAATTTTTAAACCTACATCTTATGATTATTGTAATGAGCTCTATTAATTATAAAGTCAATAAGACATAACGGCTTAAAAATGAAAAGTTTGCACATTTTGTGAAGCTGATATTGAAACATTATGTTAGAAATTATATTGATGTTGTAGCAGCTCACTTTTTCATTCGGTTTTTCACAGGCTCAGTTATTTTCAGAGCCTGACTTTCAGGGCAGCTGTCACACCCTGGAGGACAGTTCACCAACCCTTCCCCAGTCATTCACACTGGGGTCCTGCAAGATTTTGTCTGGAAGGTGGGTTTTCAAAATCAGAACATTTGTCTTCAGGAATTTTACTAACAGTGTATTGTGTTACATAGGTTTGTTCTGTTCCCACTTCAGTCTTATTTTTTAGACAGTTGCATGGTTTATAATATGTCATAGCTTTTTAGAAAAATGTATAATTTGAAAAATAAAATGTCACTCTAGAATTAAAGACTTCTACGAATGTTTATACATCCCTTTCAGTCTGAAATTCAGAAATGTGTACTACTATTTGCATATAAGAGATTTCTGATTCTCTTATAGAAGTAGTAAAAATTATTCACACCCTCTGTGTAATACATAGTAATTGAATAAATTTGGACAATATTTTTCAGTTAATGAATGCTATTACTTTAACATTCAGTAGGTCCATTTAAACTACAACATTCTTAAGCCTTGAATTAAATCATATTTCCACAGTCTTATCAGCAATGTAAGTTTTAACAGGTTGTGTTTTTTCTAATTCAGTCAATTATTCAAGTAGTGTTGCATTCACTGTATGAATTGAATAATTGCAATCACTGCAAAAGAGCTCTTGATAGTCAATGCAGAAGATGAAAACAAAGGACTTAATTTTTTCCAGTCCATAATTAGTTCTGAATTAGAGTTCTTATTCTTATTCATTGTAGAGCATGTCAGTGTGTTTTAACTTGATTTGTGCCTTTCCTTGCTAAAGACGCACATAACCAATCATTCCAATAAAATCGGAGGCATTCTGGAGTGAAATTAAGAAGGAAACAAACTGTGAAGCAGGGTTAATTAGACTGCACACCATTTATGTTTATGTTATTATACAAGTTATTTAAAGTTGGTCTTTACATTTCTGTTTCAAGACTGGAGGTTTCACCTCCAATATTTTCAGAATTATTAAGTTTACTCTAAATTTACTTATAAAGAGTGGAAGTGAAAACAATATAAGCACCTGTGCATCACTTTTCTGACTTGCTCTGTTTTTGACATTGAGAATATTGTTCCTTTTCCATGTCAAAGAAAGTAACAAGAGTATTTACTGATGAAAATACCAGCTGTTATCATAAAAAAGTCAATCAACCCTGCACTGTTATAATTTATCATTTAAACATATTGTTTGTGCTGAGAATACTGAATACACACAAGTGAGAAGAAACCCTGACTGAAATCTGCTTTTGCCAGTTGGATAGCCTATGAAGGACAAGGGTTCGAGGGACACATGTATGTGCTGGAAGAGGGAGACTATCCTGACCTGATTGCATTAGGCTGCCCCAATCTCAACTCATCTATCCAATCCATGCAGATATCAGGTTTTGTAAGTACAAAGTATATTTTCTAAAATTTCTTATTTTGTCTTTTTGGTTTCACAAAATATCTAATTATGAATAATTAAGAAAACATGTTATTTAGCCCTTTCCTTGCAAGCAGGTTTTAAAAAATACGACAATATTATATACAGTACATATACAGTATGCTATAAATGCAATTATTATTCATAATAATATCATCATTTATTTTATATAGTGCTTTTCATGGTGTATCATCTCAAAGCACTGCACAATAAAACTTCCCAAGATAGAAAAATAATACAGTAGATGAAACAGAATTAGAGTATAAGTATGAATTTTAAGATTGGATATGAAAGTGCTGCCTGACCTTTAAGGTCTGAAAAGGCTGGCAGATCACTGCGCCTTCCTTGAGCCCCAGAACACAAATCCTGAATCTGAGCCTTGTGTTGGGAAATGAAAGAAGATTAGCATCCAAAGTGTTCAAATGACATGAAGGGGTATAGAGAGTTACAGTACCAGTTTACTGTTTTGTTTTCTGATCCAAAACTTTCAGCCCTTTAAAGATTAGAAGCAGTAGTTTGAATCTTATCCTAAAATCCATAGGCAGCTAGTGCAAGGAAGCTAAACAAGTGATATTAGTTTGGGCTAAAATCCAAGTAGCTGACTTACAACATATTCAGAATTTAAGAACATGTTTGTATACACCAGGAAGAACTGCCATACAATAATCAAGCCCGAAAAAGACCAAACACATGCAGCAGATGTTCTGCCTCAGACTAGGAGAGTGTGATAAGTGCAGCTCCGCCTGCCCTGCCAGGATCGGATCCTGTTCACGTGAGGGCTCCAAGCTCATTAGCACTCCCCAGACAGCAGATAACTCTGCCACACCACAAGGCCAGCTCCTCCACCATAAGAGACTCCTAGTTGTCACCAGTGACGAGTGCGGCTCGATCCTGGTCACTAGCAGGCCCAGACTCTTCCCAGAGGACCCCATCCATGCATTGGAATCTCCTTGCCTTGTCCCCTACTCTACACCACCCCTAGACCTAGAGACCTATCTCTAGAGCTAAAATCATGTAACTGACATTGCACTTTCCTTTCATTCTGCTTGTTGTGTAATTCATTTCTTTGTTAGAAAAAAATGGCTGAAAGGTTGTTTTTATTAATGGGGACACTTCATTAATTTTACATAATGCTTAATTTAAAGCTGCTTAGATCTACATTTGATCACCTGTAGTTGTTGTTCTACAGCTCTGCTTTACTGTGGCCTTTTATCATTGGAGATGTTGATTCTGAGGTTCAGTTTTAACATGTCTCTGTAAAGGAAGATGGACTGACTGAACTGGGGACTGTTTACTGCTTTTCTATACAGCTGTAACATGAGAATACAGTAAATTGGTATAGTACATTTCCTGAAGAGCTCAGGGTAGTGCATAGAAACAGGGCGGAAGTGCATCACAGAGTTCATTTTATAACTCATAGGAAGAAAAAAGCATGTTGTGAAAATAGACATTTGTTTGCAACCTTCGTATTGTGTCGTATTTGTTGCAGGAATTCTCTCAGCCTTACATTACACTGTATGCTAAAGCAGACTTCAGAGGGAAGAGAATTATTCTGAAAGAAGGTGAAGTGAACCTGCAGTTAGCGGGATGCAGTCCCCATGTCTTCTCTGTCAATGTGGAAGGAGGAATGTGAGTGACGTTTTTTTATTAAAGCTGAAGGACTTTGCTCCGCTTATACAAGCTAACAGCGCCTTTGTAGGGGGGTTGAGAATAGTTGTACTGTACAGTGCAGAGTGCGTTCAGCATCATTTTCATTTCAAATGAAATATTAAGGGTAGCACGGTGGCACAGAGGTTAGCATTGCTGCCTGGGGTCCTGGGTTCAATTCCAGACCCATGGTGCTCCCTGAGTTTAGTTTGTGTGTTCTCCCCATGTTCATGTGGGATTCCTCCGGGTGTTCCGGTTTCCTCCCACAGTCCAAACACATATAGTAGTAGTAGGTTAATTGGCGTCTGGGAAAATTGGCCCTGGTGTGAGTGTGTCTGTGTTTGTGTCTGTCTGCCCTGCGAGGGACTAGGATAGGCTTTGCCCCCCCTGTGACCCTGTATTGGATAACGCTCTTGGAAAACAGATGGATGAATAAAATATCAATGCAGAGATCCATAGGTTTGTGAATAGATGGGGAATATAATATTGAGGTCGCATACCCTGATGTTTAAAGAAGTTTGACATATCTGTAAATTTCATATTTGGTAACGCTTTACTGTATAATTAGTGACTGTTCTTTAAAAGTGCATATAAAGTAATACATTATCTGCCATGGCAATAATATGACATGCGCTTTACAGTGAATTGCAATGATTTCAAGGTAGGTGCATCTATTCCTTGTGAAATAAATGTGAATTGTCTCTTATTGTAAAGTAATACATGTTTTTAAAGAGGTTACAGAATTGAAGAAAGTATGACAGTTGCATGAGGAATTCACCATGTGCGTATAAACCAAATTCTTCTGCAGTAGTGTGCTATTTTCAGAATGATTAAGTTAGAAGTTGAGCTCATTTGCATTAAAAAAATAAATAGTAAAGAAAATGTTGAACCGTGAAGAGGTGGTGTGTGATAGTCTTTAAACAATGTTCCAACAGGTGGGTAGTTTATGAACAGAGCAATTACAGAGGTCGTCAGATTCTGCTGCTGCCAAGTGTTATACCTGACTGGCACAGATACAGCAAATGGCACAAAATTGGCTCCTTGCGTCCTTTATTCCAGGTAATATTTTTCTACGGAAATTACAATTAGTTGAAGAGACAAATTTCAATCTGTTGTACACAGAATTATCAGAATGTACTCACAATTCATGTCTCGTCCATAACTAGACTCTTTCTTTTCATAAAAAAATGGAGGTCTAGTGTTTGACAATGAAAATGTTATGTGTTTCTTTTTTCCACTGATTGATTGCATAGATGTATGTACAGTATATTTGCTTACTTACAGAGGTATGTTGGGTCAATCCCAGTTCACTGGGGGTGTTTAGCATAATATGACATTTTCATTTTTCACTCTTGGGGGTGCAGCTCAGACTATATTTCCAATCACCTCGACACATGACACATTAAAGGAAAAACATACAGAGGACCTTGGGCCAAGAATACTGGTTGTTAATGTTTAGGTTTTGCTCAAGATTATCTAGAATGAAATTTGTGCCAGCTGATTGAAAATCTGTTTACATTTTTTTATGTAGTCTTTCAATTCGTTTAATATTAGTGCCCCATCCTCTGAGGAAATCTCTTGATCGCAGCTTTGTTTTCCAGAGGCTTTTTTCCAGCACAAAAACATCTGTAATATTGTGTACTGATACTATTAAGGAAATTCTGATATGAAATTTTATGTGGATGAAATCAATATGGTTAATTCAGTGACATTGTTTTTGGTCACTTGATAGTGCTTTAGTGAAAAATGCATACAGAATATAGGGCAGGAATAACACCTGAAGAAGAGACCATGTGATTAAATATTATTTCCACAGAAACAAGTTTTCTTTAGAATTCGGAACAAGGAAACTGGGACACTGATGTCAATCACTGGCACCCTTGACGACATAAAACTGATGCGAATTCAGGCTCTGGAGGATACTGGGGCTTTTGAACAGATCTGGTTCTATCAAGATGGTCTCTTAAGATGCAAGGTAATAATAATGTGTATTGTCTAAGCAGGCGTAAACCAATTGTTTACTTGTCTTTGCTGTTAAACTATATGCAATAACATATTCCTTCATTAACAAGTCCCATCTTGAAGCAGACATCATTGGATTTGAACATTTGCATAATGCACTTCCACAGAACTCAGCTTGCAGTTGCTTTTCAAAGACCTTGAGAAGAATATCTAGATTTCGGGATACAGATTGATATTTTAGGGTCAGAAACAGACTAGGCTACATAAAGGTGTTTTACTTAGTGCATGAGATTCCTGTTTCTATTTATTTTTCCTAGTTCATAATGTTCCTGGTTTGGTTGATGACTGATCAGTTTGGAGATGGGCACACCCCTCCCAGCAGGAATGAAACACTGAAGATGATCACTCAGTGCCATTAATTAAAAATTATCATTGACCTTGCTTTCTAAGGGAATAAGAGCACCCAAACCAAGCCAGGAAATTGCACCCCACAATATTACAGAGCCACCAGGCCCTTCACTATTGGAACATAGAGTTCTCTTGTCCATTCTTCGAGAGCGTGGTGGAGGGTGATTCATCTGACCAAATCACATTTCTTCAGCACTCTATAGTCTATTGCCTGCGTTCTCTGTTACACACTGGACTCACAAATGTCCATTGCCAGGTGGGACGAGTGGTTTGTGCTCTGCAACTCGCCCACCGTTGCTCTTTGCTGATGATGTCTTTCTCTGAGATCTCCATGCCGAGATCGCCTTAGATAGCACTGCTCCCTAACCATATTTAAGTTGAGCTATCTTGGTTACTGAATCTAATGCCCCAGGAGTCACCCCTCTTTCAGAGTTGTTCAAGTAGGTAGCTGTATCAGTACGTGTAGGCTGCAAAGAAACAAGTAAAGGTGTATTCCATGCTGAAAAGAGAAGAAAACAAACTGTGGGGTCAGCCGAAACGTTTCTTTTCTTCTCTTTCCAGCATGGAATACACCTTTACTTGTTCCTCTGTCAGAGTCACAGAGGTTTAATCTTGCAGTCATGCTAACCACAATTATTGAAATCCAGGGCCGTTCAGCTTTTTATGCATGACCCAAAGCAAGCTGGAATGCTATCTGCTTAATTAACACAGGAAACAAACCAACGCAGAAGCCTTTCCTTTCAATTTGTGTGGTGTCCCTAATTCATTCCGGCGTTTTGATTTTTTTTTGTACACTACCAGTAAATTCTGTTGTGCACTGCTATTGCCCTGGAGCAATTAGATTCCCTAATAAAACTGCCTGCGGTGTTAATGGGCACGGATATCAGATGTAAGTCACTTTGGATAAAAGCATTAGCCAACACAAGTAATAAAGAGACAGTATATAAACCAAAAACCTGCATCACATCTGTCTCTTTAGGAATATACCCTTTGCAATAAAGAACTACAAAGTATGAAGAAATTAAAATAATGTTAGTATGTCTTTGTAAACCTTGTTTCAAGACATATGCTTACTGTACAGATTTCAGATTCTTGTTCGTATGATAACAAGGTGGGGTTATTGCTTATGCCGGCCTCTTCTCTTTTGTAGATGTTGGAAGACTGCTGCTTGGAAACTGTAGGCAGTATTATTATGGCTGGCTGCAGGCTAACCCTTTCACCCGAGCCAGGGAAAGAGACCCATTTCTGGAGTATCACTCCTGATGGCCTCATCAGATGTAACGCGAAACCAGAACTTGTTTTAGAAGTAAAAGGTAAGTTTGCTGCCATTGTTCTGTAGCTATAATCTTCAAATATACTAATACTCTACTAGTGCTTTGTGTGGTGCTGTGGATCTACATGAAGTAACTCACAGTGGGGATTGCTTTTGTATTCAGTCTGTTGTTACCACACTTATGCCTAAATAAATGGTTTTCTTTTGCTTTGTTTTAAATAGGAAATAGCCACACGTGAACTTATAAAAACTAAAACTCTATATAAAGTTACTGTACAGTAATACATTATTACCAAAGCATTTTAATACATTTATACCTTATGTCACTAAACTGCCTTAGTAATATTCCAATGTTTACAGCAGTGCTGGAAGCCCAGTGACTCAGAGCATTTAACTAAAATGCTGAAACTGCTGTTTCTTACAACCAGATAACAAACTGTTTTTATTTAGCACCTTGAAACATTTCTGTGTGAGGTTCATTTCCTGTGTAATGACTGACTCCATCAGTCAGTACACACAATCAGTGAATGATTAACCAGGCTATTCATTAGAGAATTGAGTTGCTTTATCTATTAATGTACTGACAAAAGAGTATCATAACAACAGTGCTTAAATGCAGTCCTAAATTCTCCAAATTAAGTTGTTGCTGTGCGTGGATATAAGGATAAATAATCTATATTGTCAGTTTATAACCAGAGTTTTGTAAGCACTATCTGTATATATTTAATTTGTTTATACGTTTTTTCTAGTGATCTTGAAAATATACAGTATGAGAGCAGCAAACCAATACGCTTTCTGAAAGCAATGGCACATAACTGCAAAAAAACTTAGAACCTTTTAGAGACAATTGACATCAGTTGTGAGCTTAATGCTTTGTGGAAGATTTCTAGTGGGGAACTCTCTCAAAATCAGGTTCATTATATTACACCTTCCTATTTAAAAATAAAATAGGTATTAATAGTATAGTAAAGTGAAGTAAATTGTTCATGGTGCTTATCTACAGTAAACACATAATATTAAGGATTTTCAGTATTACTATCTATTCACAAGCATGATCTTTAAAGGGTTAAATGACATTAAAAAAGTATATGAGCGATTATGTGCTGAGTGAAAAGAGCACCACACCCACTCTGTCTGATCACTTGAGCACAGACTGCGCATACTGTAAGTGCCCATCCCTGACAAGAGAGTGACAAGGCAAACCACTGTAAATAATTCAGGTGGGTAGCTGCGTCAGCATGTGTAGGCTGCAAAGGAACAAGTAATACTTTTATTCCATGCTGAAAAAAAGGGAGAACATTTTCTGAAAAAGAACACCTGAAAAAGGCTTCATGACCGAAACGTTGTGTTTTCTTTCTCCTTTTTTTCAGCATGGAATAAACCTATTACTTGTTCCACTGTAAATAATTCACAGCTGTTTCTAAGGGATATTTGTATGGGCAGCTGAACCTCTGCTGTATGTTCTTATTTATGTGCCAACAAAAATCAGACCTATCTAGCAGTTGAATCCAGGCCCAAAAGTCACATGTGAGTTCAGGTTGGTTTTAAAACATGCACAGTAAAATGTGCTGTTTTGTTTCCTGTAACATGAAACCTAAACCACTCCTGTTGCGATTGGGAATGTGGAGTTACATAGAGTTACAGTGCATTCATTGTTGAGAACAATACGTTAGATAGCCTTCTCTGTTAAGGTTTTTGTGCATCAGATCTGTCCCTGAGGAAGACATCTGTCCTGCATTTGCACCAGATACTGATAAAAAAAATATTTTGCATGTACATGTATTTTTAATATTTATGTTCCAGAATGCATGTTTAGAGTTAGGGCTTTCCAAAACGAACAGATATTTTGGTGAGGAATAAAGAAGAGCCACCTCCATTACTCTTTACCAGAGCTTACAGAGTAAAATCTATGTGATTAATTTAATCAGACAAGGAGTGTGTAAGGCTCAGAGCTACGACAAAGAACATAATACCCTTCTAGATAAACATATCTTAAGGTTTTTGCATGTGGATCCCTTTTAGGTGTTACAGAATAATTGAGTAAGTTTTAGGCTGAAGGTGGCCAATGCTTAGCAGAAAGGTTTTACTTCAGTTAAAACTGAAGAAAGGAAAATATTCAGTCATCAAAGATACAAAAATAGAACGATTCAGCACATCTTGCAGTTTATTGTAAATTCAAGTTAATTTTCAATGGGGTGACTCTATAAAATCCATATATTTATACAGGTATGTTCTAAACATAATGCACAGAGATATCTTGAACTGCTCTTAAAATGATTTTTTACTGAATGATTCCAATGTAGGTCCTTAGTAGATAGCACCACCTTGTGGTTACAAGCAAGGAGTAACTAACGATTTGGGTTTTACATTAAAACCTGAACAAACAAGAATATCCGTCATTTTATTTTACATATTCTAAAGTAATTCTTAATGTTTTTGAACAAGTTTTGATTGTAATTAATATCGGTCAATATAGTGCCTTCAACAGCTGTGGATCCTTCTTCTTCTTTCACAGGAGGTCAACAGTTTGACAAAAACCAAGTGATCATCAATACTTTTGATGATAAGAAGCTGAATCAAAAGTGGTCTGTGGAGATCCTGTGAAGCAGTGACTGTCACAGAGGAGCTCTACCATGCCTTCCTATAGGAGCTTATAAAAGAGAAGTGTCTCCAACCAGAAGACATTAATTTCTGAGTCTCCAAATGGAGTGTGTTCTTAGCTGTAAATGTTTAATTATGAAGAACTGCTCCTTAGCTAAATGATCTGAAATATTTTTTTATGACAATTACCCATGTTAGGTAAATAACAGTGTAGGACGCAAATGTTTGTAATTAGAACCTTCATATGTAATATCTAAAAGACAAAGGGAAAAAAACAGATGTCCGTATTCTAAAGCATTTAGAAATTCTCAGGGCTATGAGTTCAATATAAATGGAACAACAGACCACACTTTACCATATCTAAGAAAAAACCTGTAAGTTTAGAAGTGTGTGCATGAACCTTTTTAGAAATATTATTTATTTGACGAATCCTTATTTGGCACATACTAAGTTCTATAGTAAGCATAAGGACTTGAACTGTAAAATCTATTTTACTTTGTTCATCAAAAACGTATATATGGGAGTGGAAGTTTTCTTGTTGATTTTGGAACATTGTTAAAATGCTTTAGATGGTTATATTAAATAATTGCCATTGGGAAGTGCCACAGATGCTGTTGTGAAGCAACGTGTGGTTCAAAACAAAACCTTATCTATTGTTTTGGTGTAAAGGAAAGAATGTCGCAAAGTCTAAGCACTGCTTTCAGCTCATGACTTGATAAGGTCTTTCATTAAAAAGATGAATAATGTTGTTATTCAGATTGCTTAACTTCGGAAGACAATTTAGGCAGAGAGAAACATTTAGAACCATCTCAACATGTGGTCTAATAAAAATCTTAACACAGGGTATATATTTTGTAAACTGGCATTTCCCAGCATTTAGTACAGGTAATATTCTACCTTCAGTTAATCTCATCTTTTGTTACACATTTGTTTTGCTTTTTTATTGTAACCGCACTACTAATATTGCAAAGTGTAATATTGAGATTGTTGTATTCTAATGTACGTTGTTGACATGCAAGTGTAAAAAGTGTGTTTCTGCTTTCATTTTTTTTGAGTTCTTGTTTACTGAAAAGGGTTCTAGAACTTTTAGATGTTTTAAGGACGTCAATGTAAAACCATTGCATTTATCTAATAAAAGTTTTTTAAGCTAAAGCATGTGAGTCAAAGTCTGCACAAATATAAAAAAAACAAGACTTTGTTCAAACCTATAGTAAATGCACAGTACAAATTCCACTGCATCAGCATCCTGGGGGCAGTGGAGCTGTGGTCCAGCTCATTGTCAGGTGAAATTACACACCTTTTTCTTGTTTCTCCCTTTCGGTGGCTAGGGGTATTTCAGTTAAATAGAATGCTGATAAAGGAAAAGAGGGATCTTAATTATACACCCCTAGCTGAAATATTTCTAGTTCTCTCTCTCACTTAGAATGGGTACAGTAACTAAAGCTTAGAAAGTCACAAATGGAACATCAGTCCACAAAATCGGGGACACAGCTGAACCACGAAACTACCCACCAGTCTTACTTCTCTTACTGGTAAAGGTATAGAAATTATATTTAGAGCTGAACTAGAAGAAGTCTTAGAAAACAAGGACATTTAAAGAGCCAATATGAGTTTAGAAAGGGAAGGTCTCGTCTAATAAGAGTTCTTCCAACAAGCAACACAAACATTCAATACCACTTAATCTCATGACATCATAAATTTAGATTTCCAAAAAGCATTTAATAGGATCCATCATATAAGGATTCTCAAAATCCATAGCGATCCAAGGTAACATATACTGTATGTACATAGACAGATTTACTGTAGCTACCAGCATTCTTCTGTGTGCCTCAGGGATCTGTTTAGGCCCATTGCTACAGTATATATACTGTATCTGGTATTGCTAGAGAACAAGTCAAATGTACTGGTGATACTTACATAAGGGAAGTTGTAAACACAGAAACTGCAGCAAGGGAGTTACAGAAAGATAAAATCATGGATTGGACTGACATACGACACATGAAAATCGCCATTAAAGAGTGCAAAGTGATCCACACTGGTAGTAGGAGAAAGCAATATATTTTACTGTATATACTGCAGGGGTGCTTCAGAGCTGTAGAGAGTTGCATATGAAAGGGAAATTATGTATGCAGATTCTTCTATTCCTCACCAAGGCAATATAGGGAAGCAGCAAGAGTGCAATCTACTGTTCCAAGACATCTTGTAACATGAGCTTGTAGAGGCCTTTTGTTCTATTGAAGGTAACACAACTACTAATAAAAAATGGAGCACAAACTACAGCACTCCTTTTGTGGTTTTAATAAAGGAAACTGTGATACACCTCTGTATAAAGAGCATTTTACAGTAATCGTTAACAATACATTCCACCTGGATTCGATGACTGCAAAGAAAATAAACAACGTGTTTGTATGAACCTAAACTTTCGATGTAAGCTGGAAAGACGAGCATGTAGGCCAGCAGCTAGGTGTGGCGTTGACTCCGATTTGTTCGGAGCTCTGGGGTTACTGGTGGACCCCAGCGATGGTGACCACGGTCTTCCCTCTTGCGTGGCCCCACTCCACTTTCTCCAAGGCGTCCGGGACCTGCGAGAAGGTGAACTGCTGCTCAATGACCGGGCGGATCTGCAAAACAGCATGCAGGAGTTACAAAGAGAGGCCGGTGTCCGTGTCATTACCTGCTACATTTTCCTATCCCTGAGGTTCTGCTTATCCCGGCTGTCTTTTCTTCTTGGATTCTCGTATTCCAGGTCTGCTGTCACAGCAAAGACAGGAATGTCTAAATACTCTTGGAGCTGGACAGGAGCGAACCATGGGAAAAGTGCTTTCACTGTAGTCTCACAGAAACCCTTTTTGGGAATCACCAGAAGAGCACCAAACACACACTGTCATTGGCGTGATTGAATGTTGTAGGACCTCATGATGGCAAATGAAAGCTATGAAAGACATACATCCCATCATAAGAATGCCTTGTTTTTTTGTCATTCACTGACAGATTTTTTAACACTTTGAACTAATAGAACTAATAACAAAAAATATTAAAATTGAAACAAGAAGAAAAAGAATAAAGAATAAATCTGTTCCCCTATGGCTTTCTTTGAATAAGGGAGCAAACAGGAGTGATGCATTGTCCTGCTTTCCAAATGTGCAGCTCCATCACACTACCACACCAATGCCAGCTCATCTCCAAATATGCACTGCCGTCAACAAAAGAAAAAATAAAAATGATGAGGCTGGACAATTCTCTCAGTGGGAGCTATTATCTCGGCCACCGATCAACAAGTTGTTTAATTAGCAATGAATGGGCTGATCTCGTCATTGCAGAGAAAGCCATTGAACTTTCCCTGTAATCAACTGACAGGGACAGAAATTCTTCCTGTTCACAGACACGCGAGCGTGAATAACCTGCCTTTTCAATCGAGAGGGTGATAATGGCTGGAGATTAGTCTGAAAATAAAAAGACTGATAATGGATTATGGGAACACCAATTAAATCTGTCTGAAATTATTCATCACCATCCAAAGGTGCCCTGCCCAGCCTGCCTGTAAGAGAATACTACATAAAAAACCAACACGATATGTGGAGCTTTCAGATGGAGAAGGGCTACTAACCACTCACTGTTGGCTTCCTGTTCAACTCTCACTGCAACAGTGATCATTTTAATCACCTTTTCAAACTTAAGTAAGAAACCACTGAAAGATAATCCAAAAGGGCAATGAAATATTGTAAATAATAGTGTTATTACACGAGATTAGATTATGAGATTAATATTGATCAATTTTATATTTTTTTTCTTTAAAACACTGCTTTAGCATTGATCTGTTTTCTTGAGGTTAAACAACATATTGGTTGTGATGCGGATCAGATTTCCCTATTATTGTGATACACAACTGCGATGTTCACATTTTCAGAATTTTCTTACTGCCCTTTCGTCTCCTTTACATAAAATACTGTAGGATTAAGTTATTTCTCCATTCACTGGAGTTGTCAACATTTACTGTTGTTAAATGTTCCAGTGACTTTAATGTGAATGTTTGTCACTTTTTTTTTAATTGAAAAAATAAAATTAGAGTATATACTGTAAATGTAAAATAACTTAAATAGTTATTCAGCATTTACCTATAAGTAAAGGCACAGTGAGCTGCAGTGGAAACACTGAGTGTAGAATATGATAAGGCATACAGCAGTAGTATAGGCAGTCCTGTAAAACCACTGCTTTGTTACTGGAAAACCAGTATTACAGACGAAAAAGGGGTCGCAGACCAGTCAGCTCTCTCTAAATCACTTATAACATTCTTCATATCCATATGCACCAGAAAACACAGTTTGAAAACATTTTCTGAGTAATTAAGTACTGAACATTAACTTTTATAATTATGACATCACAGGCTCATTAAATAGCATTACATATTCTTTATCATAAACACTTTTATGTATTTACTGTACATATATTCTGTAGATTTTCAGAATAACGTTATTAAAATGAAAAATCATTTAATGTTTTTGTTACCTTAAGAAGCAATTTCTATTTTTCTAAATCACTGTTAAGGAGAATCAGTGTCGAAGTTTAACTCCAGTCTTCAACTAATGGAAATCTGGAAGCATACGTCTAGCTGTGGCCTAAAGGTTGCAACCTAAGAGGACATCTGTTGCTGTTGCTGTCCATTTTCAGCATGCATGATACTTCTGTTTCATTTAGAAAAGTGTTTAGTTCTATATACCTCTGACTTACATCATATTATGCTTGTTTATGTTTCATCCAATCTGCTCAATGCAGCCTAAAATTCTGTTTCACTTTACAAGATGAGTTTCAGAACATTAGCCTGCATGTTTTTATCAAGTAACCAATGGGACAAATTCTGCGCTAGTATGTGTCAGGGCGTATACGCATAGAGAAAAAGGACAACACAATGGCAGAAAGAGTGCTCTGTCATGGGTGCTTCAAAGGAGTGGTGTCTGTTCATTCTCCTCTCCTCACATTCGAGTGGCCTGTCTCAGGGAAGAGGGGTGTGCCATGCTGAAAGACTGTAACAGAGCGCTATGGAGTTGTATAATCCCAGTGGGTCTGAGCCCAGATAACCAACATACCTTTCCAGCATCAACAAGCTCGCTGACTTCATCAAGCACGGGGCCGCTTGGAGCGAAGAACCCCCAGCGGTAGTGCACTCCTTTGCACAGATTCTGCGAAACAGAAACAGAGACCCTGTGTGTAAGCAACCCTCCTCATGCAGAAAGTCTCCCGGTCCTACTTCGAAACACAGGGGCACGACATTCAAAGCGTCAGATCTTTGTGAATTTAATAACCGGTTCTAATCCTTTTCCTTGTGACATTACTTCCATGGCAACAGAATTCCTCTCCTGAATGAACTGAAGTGGCACTTCATTATTTCATCTGTGCTTTGATGTGGTTTGATTATGATGAGGTCAGCTGATGAACACGACAAAAACGCATTCACGTTTGCAAGAGCGCAAAACAACAGAATCAAAGGATCCCGGATTAATTGGCGAATGGCACAAATAACATTCCAGAATTATCCACTCAGATCTGGTTCGGACTTGAAGCTGAGGGTCGATAATTCATATGCATGTTTTAAAAGGTGGGATGGGAAAGGCTTTTTTTCTTTTCTGTCAAAAACAATAAGGAAAACATACAGTAGAAGGTAAAGCTGTTGTAGCCAAAACCTTGACATCACTGTAGAAATTGCTGAGTTCTCCCACAGGATTTGGGAGTTGCCAGCAAGAAAGCCATAGAAGTGGTCAGTGTTGAGTAATGGGCGTACAATGGGCAACTGGGTGTGACTTTCATGAGAGAGCACTGTATGAATATTTTATATTTTTCAGAAGCACTCTGAGTGTTAACCATCAGCAGCCACAGATGTCTCTGAGAAAGAATCAATGCTCCCTTTTTCATTCAATTCAGAATTTGAGGAAAGGACAACTAGGGGCTGGTTGTGGCATAATGGATTTCACATCCTGATTGTTTTAGCCAAAAAAACTTACTGCGTTACTGTGAATACCTACACACATCTAGGTCTGACCTAGTGTAACCCCTTCACCTGAGAGTTTTACAGAGGAAATCTAGTTGAGGGATAAGGCATAGGCTGGAAATGTATATGCTGTAATCTACCTGCTCTCTGGGGAGACAGCTCTTTATTCCCCAACTCTGCTGCGGGAAACAAAAAGGACTATGAACAAGAAGGGGCTGTTTAGCGGATTGTGCACAGTTCTTAAGAACAAAGGAGGCAGTATTGTCACGAGAGCTCAAAGCTCTCTTGGTCATTTTAAGTGTGTTGCATTACAAAGGGTACATTTGAACACTCCATCAGACACACCAAGACTCACCTTTTAATGTAAAGTGAATTTTCAGACGAACTCCTTAATTCGAGTTCTCAAGTGAGATTCCAGGACAGTTTCACGGACTACTGAAATAAATCCCTTACCAATGTGAAGATAAAATGAGCTAGCCTCAAACTATCAATATTGTTTAAATCATGCAAAATTATGTTTAGCTGAACATCGACAGCTTTATGCATTTTAAGTGGGTCTCAAGACCAGACGAATTTGTAAAAAGAAAAAGAGACTACAGGGACACCCTTGGCAGTTACCGAGTATGCAACCGAGGGCAACAGGAATTTGTACATAACTCTTAATATCAGGATACATTTTAAATTAATTTAATAATTGGGGATGGCAACATCTTTTTTAGGGGATAAACGGAGTTAATGATGGCAAAAAACAATACAAAAAATAAGCATAAGACAGAGCATCTTAAGGCGCAACAAAGAAGAAGTCTTATAGCATTTCTTAAGAAGATGCTATAACAGAAAGAAAGATATACGCTTGGGCTGGATATTCACAGTTTCACAAAAGACTGCAGCTAAAAGTGTAAAAATTCATGCTACCACAGGGTTTCTCTGTGGGCCCTCTCTGACAGAGACTGCAGGTGAACCCAGTGAGTGTCTCATCAGACAAACATTCAGACTTATCCTCCCTGGATTTGGAACAAAGGCTCAGTCTAGTTGGAGGGAAATCCACAGTCACATTGACAATGTGACTCTTAATCAGGCAGAAATCCTGCCGCCTAGGCAATCCAGTCACTTTCATTGTGCATGTTTTGAGCTACGTTTTAGAGACCAGCTGTTAGGCTGTACTACCACAGCCAATCTTTAGTAACTTCATAAACCTTTTATTGCTATCATTTATTCACAAAACACATCTAGGGTTAAAGAAGAAGCCAGTTAGAATTACTATTTGGCTGAAAACACAGGAAAAATATACTTTTCCCGTTACCTTTTTTGGACTGTGTCAGACTCTACAGCAGCCTGAAAAAATAAAGGCATTGTTTTCAGGGCTGAACATATTATTTCTTGGTGTATGGCATCAATCGAACTAGGATCGCTTATTATTACTCCTGGGATTACAAAACAGAATTTTAATTGTCTTTAATAAAATGAATAAGACAGATATATTATAGGAAATGTCATACTGTATAAAGATAGGCAGGTTCATAAGTAGCTATGTAAATCAATAGATTAAAGTAAGATACACAGAGAACTGAAATTACAAGTGCAAACTAGTTTTAAACATCTACCACAGAACACATCTTTTAAATAAACCCCCTATATGTTTGTGTCCTATTAGTGCCTTATGGACTAAAGTTAAAAAAGTTCTTCATCATGTACTGATCATATTAAAATAACTAATTTGCACACACGTTTTAATTTAAATTTTATTTTCCTGTGTTCAATCTTCAAATGTGCTATAAAGTACTTACTCTACATAGGACACTTGTTTTTAATCACAGATTTATGGACTGGCTATGGATTCATTCATTAGGGGGCAGCAGTGCTTCAGAGCTAATGATGAAATTAGAAGATGAGACGGTTACACGTAAGTGATAGATAACACCTCTCAGCTCAAATGAACATACATTCAGATACACCTGTACCGGTTTTATTGGTCTTATTCTCCTGCTTTCCTTCCTCACAGTGCAAATCAGCACTTCTCTCTTCCCCTCATGCCTGATAGGTATTGCAGCCATATTATTAAAAGTATTATTTACAATGAACAAATTCACAAAACAAGGCACCAAAATAATCGGAACTTCGATTTTTGCCTTTCAAAAATATTCACCCCATTCTGATGGCTAATACATTTAAAGTGAATATTGTTTCATCAAAATGTAAATGTTCAACTGCAAATGTTAAAATGTGTTTAATGTCAGCAAAAACTGTAAAGAAAATACATTGCAGTATTCACCCCTCGGAGTCTGCTCGGTGGAAGCACCTTTGGCTGTGTCTAACAACTTTGCACACTAGGACAAGCTATTTTCTGTCCAGTCTTGCTCTCAAACCTGCTCAAGCTGTCAAGTTGGGCGGGGATGCTTGATGGAAAGCAATTTTCAAGTCTTGCCACAGATTCACATGGTCTAACGCAAAGGTCATCCCAATTTTCAGTCTTCAGCAGAGTGAAGGTTTTTCTCTTACGATTTACGTGTGCTTTGCTCCTTCCCTTTTTAGCTCAGCCTTGACAAGCTTCCCACTGCCTGCTGATGGGACGCAGAACGACATGATGCCACCATACATGACAGTAGGGTTGGTGTTGATTGAGTGATACTCCATGTAGGGTTTGAGTCAGATGTAACGCTTTACAAGATCAAAAAGTTCAAATTTGGTCTTTCTGACCACAAAACCTTTTACCACATGTTTGCAGAATCACTGCAATGCTTTTTCGCAAACCCCCTTAGTGATTTCAGATGGGTTTGCCACTCTGCCGTACAGTGCTGCTTAAAAGTCTGTGAATTCTTACTCTAGTTCTAGAATAGTTACATTTTTATGATGAAACCTTTGTTTAACCAAAACTGGTCCTTACTTTTATAAAAGGAAGGGTTGATATCCACAAATTCCAAGCGTTGCTTAGAGGAACTGATGTACTGCATGTACGGTAACAGGAAAAGAGATAGGTAAATAAGAATTAGTGTACGTGCAAAAGTGAACCACAATATTCAAGTATGTATACGATATGTAAGTACTGTATAACCAGGTGCCAAAATAATTGGGTACTAATCAAACCAATTACAGTGCCAATCCCAAGGACAAACTTTGGGAGGCTTTCTACAACAGTCAAAAAATCTGGACCAGTTGAATCAGTTTTAAAAGGTAGAATGGACAAAAATATCCCAAAGCAAATGTAAGAGTTACTGATTAGTAACTATAGAAAACGTTTGTTTGCTGTCATAGTGGCTAAAGGATGTGCCACAACTTTTTTAAATTCACTCACTTTTGCACACAGGGATAATTGCGTTTCTGTTAAATAAATGCGATTTATTTGATAAATAATGAAACAATATATATGTATATTTTTGTATGTGTCCATTATTTAGGTTATCTTCATTAAATATTGATGCTCAGATAAGAGATTTTTAAAGATAATCTGTCTAAGACATGAAAGATGAAGGTTTCACGCAGCTCTGTACAAGCAGGCTTTGTGGAGTGAGGCAGGATGTTGTGGACCAAAGCACATTTTCTCCCATCTCCACCACTGAACTCTGTAGCTCTTTTAAAGTCAATGGTAGGTTCACAGTGGTATCCCTCACCAGTTACAAATTATTTTTTAAATTGATTTCTTATCTATGTCTTTCTACAACCTTATCTCTGAGCTGTTTTGAAAGCCCCATGGCCTTCATATTTGAATCTTTGCTTGAGGCGAAGGTACACATCAGTAATATGAGCCACTATCACGTGAAACATTATTATTTCACACACAGGCCTTTAAAGTACGTGTGTGACTTGTCAGTGTTATACACCTGAACTAATTTAGATTTGATTTAATGCAAGTAATATATTTTAGTCACCTGTCTTTCACCCATAAAAATGATCAGTTTGATAATTCAAGTCTCGATTAAATATTAACTTTAAATAATGTGTTTACATCATTTGTAATTCAACCTTATGGGACATCACTGGAAGAGCGAGAGTACTTATGCACACTGCCTAGCTTTTATGCACTAATAATACTAAAAAATTTTTTTCTAGTCTCTGGCTTTTCCGGTAGCAGTACAAATTTAACTTTACTAAGTTTACAATCCTCTTATTTACTGTAATACTTAAAAATATTTAATCGCTTAATGAATCCTCCTATCTAGTCTTTTATTGAGACCAAAAAGATTAAATCATTTCAGTGAACACATTTAAACCCAGTAAGGAGTCCTGTTTTTTATTGTTTTTCTTGTCTATTTTCTCCTACGCCTTCTATGTATTTTGTATATATGCATGTAAGAGGCATCAGACCTCGTTACGATGTATCCACACAACCCACTTAGACTTTCTTTGCTTCAGACCATTGCTTTCATGCTGACAACACTACAAATTTACACACATCACATTTTTCTGCCATGCTGTTTCTAATTATAGGCTACGCAAGATATATTAATTCATGCCTTTACACAAGGGGGATGTTCAAAGTTTTATAACTCAAGTAATTAGACTATATACCTATTATCATAATTAACATTAATACTATTGTGGGGTTCATCTGCATTACTTAAAGCTGCACATACTTATAATACATAATGACAAATTCTAATCATGGGAGTTTTCAAAGTTTGAACATTGTGTAGTCATTAAACGCTAGAAAACAAATTAAACAAAGAAAATCATTGGACATACTGATGCTCAACTGGGAAAGGCTGCTACTTATTATCCCACAGTGTCAAAAATAGTTTAAAGATGGCAGAGGATCAATGAAAAAGGACCTCACACCTGAAGAACCCTCAAGGTCTTGGCATATCAGAAGACTCAGACAGAAAGGTCACCTAAAATCTCAGCTCGTTTGGTTACTGATGAGACACTGGCTCACTGCAGGGACACGGAGAGCAAGACCGATTCAATGCACAGAAGTAACAAAGAAATCCTATCCTCAGAGACATTCCACACCTCAGCCTGAGCTACCAAATCTCCTCAGCCTGAGCTACCAAAACCACCCCTTCCGTGTTCAGGTGGTTTTTATTTTTGAAGATGCCAATGTGTTGCTTTGCATTTGGGACAGACTGAAATCTGGGTAAGGGCATAGTAAGTAGAATAACTGACTTTTTTAAAAGGGATGACAAAGAAATCAACAGGTGAGAAAGTTTCTGTAAAACTAAAAGAACTGTAACACTAATTACGATCAAAAGAATTTTCCAGATGACATTCAGGCTGGCTAGAAGAAAAATGCTCATCTCTTTATGAATGTACAAGATACCTTTTATCAGACTTCAAGATACTGCACCTTCAACGCCTTCTTGCCAATGGTGATCCCATTCTGCAGCATTCCATTAGGCACCCCCAGCCTGTCTGTGTTGAGCAGAAAGGGCGTCACCAATGTGACGTATTTGGCTCCAGACCAAGGCTTCAGTAAAGACAAGGCCCACTTTTCCGTGTCTCCTCCCACATTGTCGAGAATCACATCAAACCTAAGCACCAGTCGACAAAAAAATTGCCGGAATGAATCAAGTCTGTGTCTCGTGTAACACGCCAAAAGCAAAATAATCTCAGCACAAAACAACATTTTGAATAGAATTTAGGAATCTTCCATTTTAAACTGTTATCATGGTCATTAACTCTAACATTAATCTTGACACCTTAAAAATCTAGCTCTATGGCATATTCATTTTTATACTTTCTAAAATGAAAGCACTTTGAAATATAATAAAACTTTTAACCCATGAAACACTGTAAGTAAAGGAGATGTCATTAAATCTTTTTTTGGCAAGTCATAGTGTATATTTAGGTTGGTAGCTGCGTCAGCACGTCTAGGCTACAAAGGACCAAGTTATAGGTTTATTCCATGCTATTAAGAAAAGAAAGAAAACACATTTCGGCCATGGAGCCTTCTTCTTCAGCATGGAATAAACATATAGTGTGTTTTTGTTCTCCATTTGTGTTATTTAGCAAAAAAGGAAGCCCCAATGTCCTAAACCTGACTCGAATCTGACTGTGACGGGCTCTCTGAAGTGATTCTCCCCAGAGACCATGAACCCAGCGACTGAGCTAGCAGAGAGGTGAGAGTCTATAAACCACTGGGTAAATAGTGTAGGGACAGAACATATTTGTTGTAGCCCAGAATGTTTTCTCAGCTGATATCAGGCAGAAAGAAAACATGCCAATTAAAAAACAAAGAAATCCTGATTAAGGGTTTTTAAAATAAGAGAATTCCAATGAAACTTCAGGAACATATGGCAAACCTAGATTTGCAATAATTGGTGAAAATATGCATAACCAAGCAAAACAGAAAATTTAATTTTTTCATTTTCTTAATATTGATAATAAAATCATGATTGGTATTTTATCTTTAAAAAAATGTATATATAAGGCTATGTAGGGTTGGGGCTCAGCAGACAACAGAAGTAAGGAGTAAAGTAGCATGACTAGGAGCAGGTTTATCAGTGTCTGTAGAAGTCTTTGCTTAGCATTCACCCCTTATCCAAACTTTTCTATAAGCCCATTTTTAATCCAAACATCTCCCTGAATATATACCTCTTGTAACCTAAGAATTATTGTATGAGAAAAGTTATCAAAAGCCACTTGAAATTCTAAATACACACATCACATGCAAGCAATGTTTCTGCCCTACTGCCCGTTGCTTGTTCATAGAACTTTAGCAAGTTGCTTAGGTTAGACTAAAGTACCTTTTCTGAGCCCATGCTGCCTAGTTTTTATGTCTATGCAGGTAATCCTCTAATTTAGTAACTTAGTATGTTTCCATAACATCACATGTAACTGAAATCAGACTTCCTGGTCTAGAATTACTTGGTTCAGTTTTGTAGCCCTTCTTGTCTATGAGCACAATATGAGTCACTGCACCAGTGGCTTCTGAATAACAACTCTTGTTTCCATCAGTTCAACTGATAATATCCTTATGGTCCCAGGGGATTTCTTCATCTTGAGTGCTTCTACTATCCAAAACACTGCCTGTTCTATACTGATGCTATTTAATAGAGAACTTTGTCCTTCCACTGCATCAGGCAGCTTGCTGGCTTCATCCTTTGTAAACACCTGAGTGAGATACTCATTTAGGACATCATCCGTTTCCCTTTCGTCATCTAGAAGCTTCCTGTTATTCCCGAATACATTTGACTTTGCTGTCTTAGCACTGAAAGAAATAGGTCTATGCCTTTAGTCTCCATTACAATGTTTCTTTCCATCTCTCTCTCGACCTTTCTAACATCCTGTCTCACCCATGTTTCTAACCCATTGTACTCCTTTTCTTTAACCGGATCCAGTTGCTTTTTTTCTCATCATGTTAGAAAGCACTTTCTAGTTAATCTATTGAACCATTTGAGATACAGTTTTTTAGCTTCCGATTTACTCCCTCTAAGTATAAAGTGTTTTGTGCTTTAAGCAGTTAAAATGCTTATGAAAACCACTGATTCCATATCTATCCTGTTTCATCCTACCTCTCTTAAACTCTATCTCATTCGTTACAAACATGACCATCTCCTTATTTCAGACAGACTTGTGAAGGGATGACCGACATGTAACGCTGATGGATTCGTTCAGGTTCTATGCCTTTCACTACCTCCTTCCTGGTCACATGACGTATTGCTACGTGTTGCGCTACACTATACCGGTGCTTTGTGATGTGTTTCACAGTTCAACAGGGGTCCCTGGTGGAGGCTGTCAAGAAAAGAACATTCAAAGGTAGTATGAGCCGGAGGCCTGCATGTTTAAGGTCACTTACCGCTCAAGAGCTCTCAACTGTGAGTCTACGGGTCCTGCTGTATAGTCCACCACATGGTCTGCTCCCAAACCTCGCACCAGCGTCTCGGCATTCTGGGAACATGTTCCTGTTACATTGGCCCCCCAAGCTTTTAGCAGCTGTAATTAAGATATTCTTCTGAGAACACTGACACTGTAAAACAGATAAAGCTAAAGATCCCTAATGTTGCTACAATGTTATTTAGTGTTTTGCTAGAAAACTGTGGGGAAAAAAATAGAATACACTGTATAATGAAAAACATCTCTCAGACAAAGATAAGCTGACAGTGGTAAGTTGCTCTTAAAAAGAGCAAAATACTCCAGTACATCAATTGCAATTTCTTAGATGTAGGGGATAGTAGCTTACTGTAACAGAATGCTTCACTTTGTGACATTATCAAGCATTTAAAACAGGAAATAAATTACTTTACAGATACAGACACAGTAGATGTCTAGATTTAATATTTTGTTTTCAGATTTTATCTGAAATTAAAAAAATGTGGTGAGTGAACCATATAGAAAGAAACCAATTAATGTTCTACAAATTCCATAAGGCATTCTTATGCGCTATAAAAACTGTAGATAAAAGTACAAAGGAAACCAAATGCACATTGTCTGTTTAAAGGCAATAAAAATGTCAGATGTCTTGCCAGAATCTAATACAACCGATCCATCAATTAATAAAAACTTAGCCCCTTACCTGAATTGCAAATGTTCCAACTCCCCCTGAAGCACCTATTATTAAAACACTATTGAAGAGAAGAAAGTGAAATTAATCTTTGCAAAAAACAAAACTGGTTATTCTGGACCCCACCCCCCCAAAAGTAAAGGGCAGCAGAAGAAATGTCAAGAGGTTAGAAACCAATAGATGTGGATTTCCATTTGAAAATAAAACTGTGTTCTGGTGAGAGTGGGGAGCTGTGTGAATTATAGAGCAGCTTGATGTTCTAGCTGTGAAGCTTTCTTCATGGGCGTACCCAACCAACCAAAGATGGTTTCACAGACTAAACTTTGTAAAAAAACATGTTAAAAAAATAATAGATGCTATTGTTCTGCTGACACCTTATTACCCATTCTATTACCTAGGGTAATAGAAGTTCTGTGACATCCAGGGAATTACTAACTTACCATTATAAGATATCAGATCAAGATGTCTATTTCATAACATTAACGGTAAACAATCAGCTTCTTTCCTAGAGCATGATTAATACGGACTTTGAACTAGTTCGGCTCCTTTATGAATGAAAAGTTCACATTATATAGCTGGTACATAATGTCAAAACGGCAATGAAAATTCATGGATTAAATAACTGCAGCACCTTTGGTACAACTTCACACTACTGACCATAAAGATCTCTAGTATGAAAAAGGTTTTATTTTGACTAAATAAATTCCATTCACAAGTATTAAAGCCATAGATTCCACACAACTTGCCGCTTTCCAGTGCAGTTATCCTTGTTCAGCCCCCCCGAGTTCACCAAAGCCGACCACGTGGTTGCTGCCACATAGGGAATGGCTGCAGCCTGGGTGTGGCTGAGGGTTTTAGGCTTTTGTGAAACCTGGAACACAAAAGACCATTGCCAACAATGAGATTTCCAAATGAAGCGCCCCTGTTGTTTTTTTTCCCAAGCTCGCCTGACTCATGACATGCTCCTATCCTTCCATCCATTTTCCTAACTTCTTTATCCGATACAGGGACGCAGGGGAGCCAGAGCCAAGCAACAGGCAGAAGGAGGGGATACACCCTGGACAGGAGGACTCCAGTCCATCGCAGGGCAGAGACAGACAATAACACACACTCAGACCAGGGACAGATTTCCAAGAGCCCAGTTAACCTACAGTACCAGTACTGTATGTCTTTGTACAGTGGAAGGAAACACAAGCACCTGGAGGAAACCCACAGGAACACAGGGAGAACACAAAAACCGCGTGCAGACAGAACCCCAGGAATTGAACCCAGGGCCCCAATGCTGTGAGCCAGCAATGCTAAGCACTGTGTACCATGCCTCTGTAACCAGCTCCCATTATGTGAAAAACTATAACGCATTTTTACAGTCCAAGTAGAAAGTAAATGATAAATCGATAAAACAGAACAATTCTTGTTTGTTTGTACAAATACAATAAGCTTTAGATTGCCGTTTGTAATTTTCTCCTAGAAAAGCTCAGTCATCAGTAAGTCACACATCTGGCAAGGTGCCATGCCTACAGTATATAATGACTTCATTTGATTTTTCATTACACTGAGGCATATTTTTCACATGCAAACAGTGCCGGATTTGTGTGGATTTACTCAAATGTCTAACAAAACAAATAACTATCAGGACTGCAAATCCAGAAACAATCCCTTCTTAGCTCTGAAGTGATAACTCTTCAGCCTCTTTAGAATGAATGGATTACATAATCCCACTCTATAAACTATAATGTGTGTGTAAGGAATAATTATTGCTTGAAGTACAATGTTTACTGATACCCATCATTTATATGCAAGCAGAACAAAGAGTCTGTTATGACAATACCTCATTGCCACTCAGTAGTACGAATTCTGCTAAACTGCCTTGTTTCCAGGGTGGAATGGCTGCCCATACCTGTAAATCAATCACATACCATTAACTGACAAACAAGATTAATCAAATTTCATTGACATGGGAAAATAACAGGCATATAACTGAGATTCAAGGTCACCTTTGGAGGGGTTGGTCAACAGACACCACAAACACTGTGAAATCAAAGGAAAAGCAGAGGAAAAGAAACATATCCTGTCCCCTCTTTCCAAGTAAATATTGCCATAAGGAAGGAAGGAAACCATCTTTGAAAGCATCAATTTTGTGTGAGAACATAAAAAATACTTCCATGTCAAAGAATGTAATTTCATGTTTAAATGTCAAGATCACATTTGGGTTATTGGACACATAAGACAAAAAAAAAAACAGTCAAAAAGGCTTTTGCATTACAAAAGTAATTCCAGGACTTGTATGTCTATTTACCATTAAATCAGGACCTATCTAACCAAAAGATGAGACAAATTAATTTCTTTGGCTATGAGAACTGCTGACTAATTTTTCTGATATTTCCATGACCACATATGGAAACTGTTTCAAAGGTGAAAGGTGAATTTCAAAGGTGAGAATCAAATCAGAGTTTGATTCTCCATGTAGCACTAAGATATCTTTAAAAATGTAACGTCCTTGTGTCATTATACAATAACAAACTACATGGATATTGCTAGAATACGTGAACACGACAATCAGAGGCAGAAATTATGTTTAATCTTGTGCAGGTTGTATTACAATCTGAGCCACGAGACACCTGCATTCAATGTATATGTCACCAGCAAAGTAAGAAATTATGTATTGTGTACAATTCCAAGGTTTCTATACAATTCCTAAAAATCCTAGACAAAGTATCAAAAAAAAGTTTCTTCCACATATTGCCTAGACATTTCATATAATGCCAAAGATTTTTGTGGCTGTTTATGAAACATGTTTTTTCATCCCCATTTTCTATCTTGTCCTATTTCTAGAACAAGAGGAGCATATGACGCTTACCAACAAATGTGCAGTGATAAAGTTTTTAGTACACTTCAGTCAGTGACGTTCAAAATGGAGACAGAATGACAGAAGAAAAAGTGATTGCATCATCGCAATGAATGAACGGTTTTATACTGTATTATCGCCAAAATGTATAGTTGCCTCAAAGAACAGTGCTTGCCTTATGGATGAACATTATCAGTAATTGATTCTTGAAGTGCCAAAAACTAAAAGAAGGATCGAAGAAGGAACCTCGACACTACTGGTCATTTGTTCTGAATTTAATTCTCATTGTCAAGTTGATCTAATTGATTTTCAAACTCATCCACGGTGAATTCAAGTTCATTCTAGTTGATCAGGATCACTTAACAAAAATTGTTGTTCTTAAGACTGAAAGAGCCGAGAAGGCACCTTACAATATGATGTATTTATTCACAATCATAGAGGCTCCCCCTGTCTTGCAGTCTGACAATAGAAGATAGTTTGTTGATAACATTGTTTCAAACCTCAGAAATTACTGGCCTGAACTGAAAATGGTGCACAGGAAGCTTCATCACAGTCATGACAGGAGAGCACTGTAAGGGTAATCCAAGATAAGGAAAATATGATCACGAGATGGACACAGGATGTCAAACAGACATTGGACTGAGGGTCTAAGATTGGTCCAGTTAATGAAAAATAGTGCCTAATATATTTGCATGATGAGGACAGCTTATGAAACTCTTTTTGGCTGGAAAATGAAAGTCAGTTTAAAAACATTGACTCTCCCACAGGAATTATTTTTTAAATTTTGAGAAGAAAGAAGAGTTGCTGACTAAATTGAGAAGAATATTATTGATGAGAGTGGATGAAACTGCTCCCCAACATCAAACTCTGAGCCCAGCAGAACAACCAGGAACACATTCTCAGAACAGTGTACATCAACTGAGGGAAGTTCATGTGATTTCATGCGTTGGGTGTGCTCCAAACCCACTAGTGGAGGTGAACAGTGTCAAGACTGTGGGCATCATACTCCTGTTATCTGTTGCTATAATTTCACCAAGGATTAAGAGGAATGGGTCCGACTCGCATGTTTTGGATCCACTGTGTGCTAATAAGCGAAACAATTTTAGAGGTCGACTAAGATGCCAAGGTTAATCTGCAGCAGCGAGCAAAAAAAGTTAAATGACAATCTGACAAATTCCCAAATTCATGAGGTTGATCGAGTCTGAGGAGATGATGGCAATATTCTAGTCGTTGACATGAATGCGAGAAGTGATGGATTCAGCTGGGAACAAGATGAGGAATTTTAAAACAACTGTATGCAAGAATGTCAGAAAGGATTTGTAGGATTAGAAGAAGTACCAGTGGACAAAGAAATCTCTCTCAGATTCCCATCTACTCAGTGACAGTGACTGTGTAAAAAAAGTCAGTGCAAATCCATGAAATGTTCCAAATGCCATCCTAGTTCTGCTTGTTGCATTAAGTAAACGTCTTGCGAGTTGTTAATTTTGTAATCATCCTAATCCTTAATCCTTTTGTAATTGTTTTAATTCTTTTAAACAGTTTATTTAACACTTGATTAAAATATTAGTTCATTAGTATGTTGACAACAAACAGAATCTAATCATCTAATGCCTAGTCAAAATACTGAACATAATATGAAAATACATTTCTTTCATTCTTTGCCAAAAATTCATTCACTGCCTGGTTTTTATAGTTTGCAAGTAACATATACATTTAAAAAACAATATGAAAAACAATGAGCCACATTTCATTCTTTATATGCTGTTGTTATTAATGGAAACCTGAAAGAAACTCCAAGGTGAGCGTGGCATAATTTTATTAACTTTTCTCTTATGGTCTTTTGCCTCAATGTTACCTCATCTCCCGGTTTGAAATATGACACGTTTAATCCACATTCCATGACTACACCAGAGACATCTCGCCCTAAAATTAATGGGAATTCGCTGTCCGCTTCCTTGATCCTCAGCGGATCTCGTTTCACATTCAACGTAGCTGAGCCATAGCCCCCTGAAAGATTAAACATAAGATCTCATCACTGACTGGAGGAAGACAGAGAAGAACACCCGCACACACATTCTTGATCACTTCATGCAAAAAAAGATCTGGCATGGGAGTACAAAAACCTAAGAAATGCAGTATGCGAGTGTCCCTGTCCCTCATAATTTTAAGTTTATCACATACATAGAAGCAGTATTTCAACTTACCTACCCTTTTCCCTATCGTAACAGCACATATAAACATTAAGGATTTTCGCACATGAACTCATCAAAAGAGCACTTGACTTCCAATCACATCTTTAAAGATCTCAAAGATGTTCACCTGTTAAACATTTGCGTTGTATTGTGACAGATTGACAAGAATCTCTTGACAAGAACAAGGGGAATTTAAGCTTAGCAGCACAGCAGGAACAGAACACATCAACAGGTCTTTATGATCTCCATGTCCTTACAAAACCACAGCTCACAAGAACACCATTGCTCTTAACTTACAGTCCATTTTCAGACGTTTCACTACTTTCCACTTGTCTCAAAACCTACTTGTTTTGGCAATTTCACCTTTTTTAAAAAACGAAAATGTATTTAACAAATAGAAAGTTGACTAAATTATTATTCACATTGCTAGTTAGTGCTCCACATAAATTCATCTTACTGGCAGTCTCCAATAAAAGCTACGTTACAGGACCTTTGTAAGAAGAAATTGCAACCTCTGGAGACAGCATGCGAGGGGAAAAATAACAATGTATAATTCGGTCTTGTATATTAACTTTTTTCATTAATAATAGTTAACTTACATCTCATGTTAATGTCAATGGGGTTCACGCTTGCGGCGTGAACTTTAACGATGACTTCATTTGGATAGTTGATCATAGGAAAGGCGGCATCTTTGGTGAACCTCAAAATGTCGTTCTTGCCATACGTATCGATGACCCACGCAGACATGGCAACATTCCTCCGCTTGCCAGAGGTACTGAACTTTCTGAACGAGCTACCTGGTCCCGTATTTCCACAGCCTCCCCTACAAAGGCTAGCAGTTTCGACGTGACGATAAAGAGCAACCCATCTCGCATGAGCCACTTTTTTAAATGAGCAAAACATCTTTATTCGACAGTAACACTGAAGAAGTAAAGGGTTTCAGTATTAAGCTGTTTAAATGCAAGTCTGCTCCAAGTATATGAGCGTAAGAAAAAGTAGTTGCACACTCATGAATAACGTTTTGCCTTTTCTCAGTTTTACTTGTTAATTAATATCCATTTGTTGTAACAAAACACTAAATGAAAAAACACTTTGAAACCAACATATTCTACAGATTTGCTAAATGCGCCGGAAATAAATCTTATGTTGTGTATTATCACTGCAAAGACGTGGAGTTTTGATGGAACCCACGGGACAAAATCAATAGTAAACAAGGTGCAGAATTTCACGTTGCAAAGGTATTCACTTGTATGTCAAGTTACCATTAAATCAAGATCTATCTAATCAAAAGCTAGATCTGATTTATGTGACAAATCTGCAAAAGTGTCCAAAATATCACCCGTAACTGCTCTGTTACTCAAGAACCCCGGTGCTGAACCAACTTCACTATAGCCTCCTGACTTCCTCGGCCCAATAGACATGTCTCACCAAAGTACAAGGCCTCATAAACCTCCAATCAGGCTGTGCGGTGTTTTGAGGTGCAAAAGAAAAGCAAGATGTCAGCCTCCTGGAGAAGTTTGCTCTGAAGGTTGAGTATGCGAATGATCCGGAAGTGTATGTAAATGACCGAATTTCAATCAAAATAAAAGTCCTTCAGCTACCACAGTAGCGTATGAGCGGTATAGCAACATGAAGCGAAGTGACAAGCAGCTAAAACACCTGCTTTGTTATTTCTTCGTGGTTACTTGTAATTTAAGTACTTTTTAAATTTTAAATCGTCTCCACTGTTCCCCAAGTTTGACAAATCTAAGATTATTAGAAGTTTTTTGCAGCATGTTTCTTCCATTTATACTCCTATAAAAATGGTCAATTTTTTTTCTATTCAATGAAAAAAGGTTTTGAGATGCATGCTTTTAAAGTAGCTGTATCTGATATTTTTTAAATATCAAATAATAATGTATATAATAAAACACAAAAGATAAGGCACCCAGACAGCACTGAGGACTTGACGCTAGATTGTAAGCACAAATGTAATTTTCCAAAACCAGCTATAATAACCCAGCAAACTTTGCAGAGTATTTTATCAGAAACAGCCAAAGTGATGTTTTTCAGAAGTACAATAGAAACGAAATCACACTTTTTGCATTCTCAGGCACAGTGGCTGGCCTTGCAGCATTGCAATAGAAGGTACTTCAGGAAGTATACATGGGAA